TGCCGGTGCTGTTCATGGAGGCTGTCAAGAGCCTCAGCAGAGGCAATGGGCTGCATGATGAAGCAGTGGCTTGGTGTTTTTACGCCAACATCGCTTTCTTAGAGCACCATGGCCGACGTGTTGGTCACCAAGAAGGAGAACACACAGAGGCGCCCAACATTCCGGTGTTGGTGGGCGGGGCGCCTTCCTCCAGAAAGACATGCTTGATAGCCATGACGACCGACTTCATGTTGGATGCATCCGGAGCCCCGCAGACAATGGCAAAGCGAGAGTGCATCCTCGCGGATGCCACGGTTGCAGGCATTAGAGCAGCCATTTACAACTACAACAGAGCTGCCGTGATTGCCGATGAAGCGTCCAATGTCTATGAGACCCCTTGGTCAGAGAAAGGGTCGGGTGGCATCCACTACTTGAGCAAGCCCAAAATGAACACCTACGTGCTCAGTGAAGCTGATGATCAAGCCACGGGGAAAGGTCAAGTACACCTCGGCTCCACTCATCACCCTTACCTGTTTCTCCACAAGGTGGCAGGCCAAACTGAGATTCTTGAGTTCATTGCGCAGCCAGTGACCCATGGCTTCAACAAGCGGTTCAACTTGGTGTTTGCGCCAGAGCATGCCCCAGAGTCATCCGAAGTTCACACAGGCACTGCCAAGAGTTTCTTTGCACAGCTGCATGCTTGGATGTATAAGAATGCTTGGACCAAGGAAGGGCATCACTACCTGGATGGCTATGCTTTGACGTGCTACAGAAGTATCAAGAAGGCAGTGGAGGAGTTCGTGCAAGAGAAAGGCATCTTTCTCACCAAGGATGCCCAAAGGAAAGTCCGATTCTGGTCCACCGATGTCTTGCGCCTAGCCCATGCGAACATGCGCATTTGCCAGTTCTCTGTGGCGCAGTTTGGGAGCTCGAACATGGCCGCGGCAGAGGCAGTCAGGACCCAGCCAAAGGTCTACGAGTTCATCTTGGCAGTGAACATGTGGCTCCGGCAGCTGCACGTGCACATCAGCTTCTACAAGTGGTTCCGGCAAATGACAAACAGCACGTCCAACGCTTCCAGTAGGGAGCTTACTGCTGCCATGGAAAGAGCTGATGATGGAGATGAGTTGAGTCGGCTCAAGCTTGATCTGTCAGTAGAGGATCGGCTGAAGCATGAGATTCTGGTTCATGAGAAAGCTTTGGTAGGAGCGAAGCTTAGCTCCGCCTGTGGCTCCGCAACCAGAATTGGTTCAAGAAGAATCGCGTCACCGCAGATCAGATCAAAGCCGCCTTGGCTGACTTGCAAAAGGTGGGCCTTTTGGATGTTGAAATGGACCCTGAAGCTGCCGCCTCGCCGCCTGTCTCTGGTGCTGAGGCCAAGTCCAAAGCCAGGTCCAAAGCCAAAGGCCCCAAGCCAGTAGTGTACGTCAAGCGCTCTGCCCGGGAGATTGTGGACAATGCGGAGGCAGAGGCTCTCCGCAAGCGGCTTTTGGTGCCCATCAAGTGCTTCTGAGTCAGCAAATTTCAAGCCAAGGTCAGTCACGATCAAGGCAACTTTGGGTCGGCGTTGCGACCATTTTGAGATTATAGAACGGTCGGCTTGAATGTCAACACATGGATGTGATGACTTTACGTCATGCTGAGTTGTAGGAATGAGGCTTCGACACATGTACCAAAAAAAGTTGCTGGTGTGGGATTGTTTCATTTTCACTGAAACGACAGTGTAGATGGAGTTTGGGCCGAGGATATCTGATGATGAGAAACTTGAAACGACAAGCGGGAAGTGTATAGATTGATGTAGGCCGAGGATGACGGGCAGGTGCGAAAGTATCTGAGCAACCTCATCGTGATTTTGTCAACACAAGGTAATGGAGTCAAGGGCTTTCCCTCTGCCTTGCCTGAGCTGCTTGAACTTGACTTGGCTTGGCTCGATTTATTTAGCTTCAGCTATCTTCAGCTAATTTTGTTGCAAAGACACATCTATGTCAGGAGTCAACTCATGGAACAAATCCCTGGTAGTTACATCAATTTTGAAGTGGTTAGACTGTTAAACAAATCAGAAAGAATTTGCAAGAATGCCTTGCTGCTAGTGACAGCTTGATCTTGCCAATCAGGATTCCACCAACTGCTTGTAGCAAGCCTCTCCCGCACGGCGTGGAGCCTGCGTAACGTCTTTGCTGCCATGGAAGATCGTGGGCGGTGTGGCTTTGGCGCTGTGGTCGTCGAGACATTCTCGGAAGCTTTGTTTTCGCCGCTGTTAACGTGGCGAGAGATCAGGAGGCTGTTGGAGCTCAGCCAGCAAATACGGACTGCGTTGCAGGCGATGGCAGCAGTGCACGTGATGCAGCTGTGCATGGCGAAGCAGAGGTTGTTTCAGCGAGTTCATGGCGAGCTGGGCTGTCGCATGCAGCATGGCCCGCGAGCTTTGTCCGTGCTGGAACGACATCATTGTTGGGTGTCACCTGCGATTTGGGTACATCCAAGGAGAAATGCGACACAGCAGCCTCGTTTGTGCTGGCATGCTGTCGTTTGTGCTGGCATGCTGGCGTTTGGCGGGTAGCAGACCGTGCAGCAGCCTTGCGGCCAACCAGGGCACAGAATGATACCAGACATGAGGAGTGGGCAACAGAGTATGCTTTCTTGGTGGCAGGAGCGGGCGAGATGGAAGGAACTTTGGTCCTGCAGGCTTGGCTGGAGAAGTGGTGGGAAGCGGGGGCTTGGTTCTACCGTTTGTTCGAGCTTCCGGCGGGAGGGTTTCTCAGAGCTTCCGAAGACGAGGAGTTTGGCACTGATGGCTAGTGAGAGGCGGAGGGTGCTTGTAGCGAGGTTTGTGGGATTAGGAAATTTGTTTCCATTCTAAATCATGTGAAGGGGCTCATGCTCTACAGCATTTTTGAGAAACGGCACTGTGGTTGCTTGGGGAAGTCACTCCCATGGAGGTGATGCCTCCAATGTTCAAGAGCAGCTGCTTCACGTGCGGGAACTACATGCCACATCAGCAGCGTTCGCTGCTATCCTGCGAGATGGCCACATAGTTGCCTGGGGAGATGCCAATTGCGGGGGCGACAGCTCCCACATTCACGGCCGATTGGCGCAGCGGACGGAAATGTAATAAAGAACCAATTGTATCACTTGGGTGTTGCTTTTTTTATCTTAGGTGCTCATGTCAAAATGAGATTGACTGACTGTGCTCATTTCAAAAAGGTCAATGCGACTGACTGAGAGCGAGTGTCACATGACATCATGTCATGTCTCAGTGCCATTTTCACAGTGGCAGTGGCTCGCATTCGCCACCAAAAGTCAATTTTGTTTTAATTGTTTGGAGCAGAGTTGGCTCACTCAAACATTCACACTCCACAGAGACCTCCAGCGTCACTCAAAAAAAAGGTATTTCCAGATACTGAAAAGTTTGAATCTAGGTTTACAACTTTACAACAAGATGACTAATTTGATGATCTTTTTGTGTCACAGATTTCTCAAGCACAGTGATTGCCCATCTTGTGTTGCCCGCAGCAACGAAGGCTCGATTCCTCTTTTTTGGTTTGACGCTTGACTTGACCATGGAAATGTCCATGACCGAAGCTTTCACAGCTAAGCTCGCCACTGTGAAGAAAGAACACCGGCTGTATGTTGGATCGCACCACATGGAAGTGATCAAAGAGTCGTGCATCCAGCTTGCACCCCTTGTGACCTGCAAGTATCAGCTCCGCGTACTGAAGCAGGTACAAGTTTTGACTTCTTTTGCCAGGTGCTACCTTGAACATGAAGGAGAAGACCGCCCACAGCTGCATGTCGAGATGTTGAATGTGGATTCCAGCAATGGAGGGGTCGATCTTTGCAGCCCATCTCGCAGAGCTTCAGCCAGAACATCTTGAATTTTACGGTTGGACGCAAGCAGGCCCTCCTGGAGGATTTGAATGCTTCCGTGTCCATCATCGACAGTGGCTTGAAAGATGATGCGCGCGGTGCGTTTTCTTCGCATGGCAATTTTGCATGGCTGTTTTCCCAATGCCTGGCCATCTTGGAAAACCACCGAGATATGCTGAAAGGCATTTTGGCGGTTCCAGCACGTTTGGAGCCTGACATGACATTGACAGAAGATATGTTTAGCAAATAGCTGCCTGATTTCGAAATGCGGGATCTGCACAGAAGACAAGACGGGCCAAAAAGATTTGTTTGCGGTGAGCTGTGAATTTTGATACTGCTATTGTCAGGTTTCAGTGGTGACAGAAGGTTCGCACTGTAGGTCATGGCAAGCTTGCTTGCATTTTTAAATGGTAAACAATCCAGCTCACTGGTTCCACCAAACCAGATGGATGTGTCCCCAGCATTTTGTTCAAAAATACAGCCCACGGTTCTCGTCTTTGTTTTCCTCTGGCCTCATGAGCTCCGTTCTGGGACGCATGGTTTCCGAGGAGATCTCAGAGAAGGACTTCAAGGAGCTGTCCAAGATGTATATCAAACGTGTCAGATTCCCCTCCAAGGTCTATGACGAGTTCACAGAATTCCCAAAGTACCTAGATCAGCAGCTGGCCATGGAAGCTAACCTGATGAGTGCGTCATGGACCAAAGCTACACTGCAATCAGCAGACATGATCGTGCTCACATCGGACAATCAGAAGAAGAACCGCAAGCATGCGTTTCTAGGCCTCCTTACGATGACATGTTTTGTTTCAGATGTATTTTTTATTTCGCAACTGTAAAGGAAGAACTTTCCACTGAGCATTTTAGGCTTTTCTTGAAGAACTGGCTGGTCTTCTCAGAAGAACCGTGGTTCAAGAGGTTGACAGCTTCCAGGGTCTCCACCAAGGTGCCTGCCGGGACCCGTGTATGTGGAATCGTTTTCTTTTAGCCAAATTTTGCCACCAGAAATCTTCTGGCCAGGTGCGCGTGACCTGTCCCAGTGCAGAAGCAGAGGCCGAGGAGATTTTGGTCGTCAAGGATGGCCAGATGGCTTTCACGGATGCTGTCAAGTTTCAGCCGCCCAATGTGATGCATGTGGATCCAGAAAAATTTACTTTGCTCCAACTTTATGGCAATTGAGATCAAGGCAACAAGCCATGACGATTCTTTCGAAGGAATCAAATTTTGAAGCAGGATCCCCAAGGAAGGCGGAAACCTGATCATCGCTGAAAGTGGCAAGACGGTTTGCGGGCAAAAAGGCTGCTTGCCTCCCCGAAATTGACGGGAGCATATCTGTTGTCCTCGCAGTAAAAGGCATGATGCTCATGCAGCAAGTGAAAAGAATGGGGTAGGAGAGATTGCGTGTAGAACCAAACTTTGCTCTGCTGAGAATTAATTCTTTCTGAGCTGAAGCAAGAGTCAGCAAGAGATAGTTTTTGCATGAGATGCATGAGCAGATTGCCGGAGTTTGCATCGTTTTTGTCTTCTTCCGCTGAAAAGCTTCGCTCAAATTTCTCATGGACGCGTTTGCATCGTTCCGTCCCTTATTTTCTGACATGCCCTGGATTCCAATTATAGAAGTAGGTCCGTCAGATTCAAAAACGAGTTTGCTTCAAAGAAACATCTATGTCAGGAGTCAAGACACAAATCCCGGGTAGATCAAATTTGAAGTGGCTATAAATCATTTTTTGGACATCGAATCGCCGTCGAATCGTCCTAAAGTGATCCGAGCATGTGGTGTTTTTAACATTTTCACTTCCAAATGTGCTTCGCTCCACAACGGCGTGCACTTTTTCGACATGTGGACGTCCAAAAGTGGCCCGAACGTATCGTGATTTTAACATTTTGACTTGAAATGTGCTTCGCACCACAACAGCGTGCAATTTTTCATTTCTCGTCTGGCCGGCAGGCTCCGCACCCGCCGCTTGTGCGAACCTACTTTTCGACCCGCCGGAGCCACACATCAGTGAAACAACACAATGTTTCGCGACTTTCCTACCTTTTCGCGCACCTGCATCTTCCCTCCAGCCAGGCCGCGCCAGAGCCATCGCACCTTGAGGTTGCAAGTTTCTTTGCCCAGCGGATGAAGGGTTGACATCTAACGCACGGCGCGAAGCCTGCGTTTCCTGTACCAATGAGTTTACCAAGTTTTTTGGACTTACTGAGGGTCTTGGTGGATACCGGCTGGTGCTTCCATATTTGGTTGCTAGTCTCACATGACCGATTTTTGCAGGGGTCAGCCAAAGCTAAGGCAACCAGCAAGATGGGCATCACATCGTGGCAATATATGAATAATATCAACTTGGAAGCAGAGGGACATCGACATTCTTCCTTCAACGGCAAGATATGAACAAACATTCCCGGTGAGTTTGCGTGGTCAAACACAGTTGCATCGCATTTGCATTAATACTGGTTCTTTTTCACCTTGTGCTTGCCTGGTTGCGGAGCAATCTTTACCAAACATGTTCATCCACAGATATCTGCATACCAGTCCTTCCCTCCAGCCAGGCCGCGCCAGAGCCATCGCATGTTGAGGTTGCAAGTTTCTTTGCCCAGCGGATGAAGGGTTGACATCTAACGCACGGCGCGAAGCCTGCGTTTCCTGTACCAATGAGTTTACCAAGTTTTTTGGACTTACTGAGGGTCTTGGTGGATACCGGCTGGTGCTTCCATATTTGGTTGCTAGTCTCACATGACCGATTTTTGCAGGGGTCAGCCAAAGCTAGGGCAACCAGCAAGATGGGCATCACATCGTGGCAATATATGAATAATATCAACTTGGAAGCAGAGGGACATCGACATTCCTCCATCAACGGCAAGATATGAACAGACATTCCCGGTGAGTTTGCGTGGTCAAACACAGTTGCATCGCATTTGCATTAATACTGGTTCTTTTTCACTCGCCTGGTTGCGGAGCAATCTTTACCAAACATGTTCATCCACAGATATCTGCATACCAGTCCTTCCCTCCAGCCAGGCCGCGCCAGAGCCATCGCACGTTGAGGTTGCAAGTTTCTTTGCCCAGCGGATGAAGGGTTGACATCTAACGCACGGCACAAAGCCTGCGTTTTCTGGCTTCCATATTTGGTTGACCACACAGATTGGCATCACAAACGTTGACATCAGACAGATTGGCATCACACAGGTCGGCATCACACAGGTCGCTACACACACAAATTCACCCACCATCATCCCTCCATCACTCTTATACTTCCGCTTCCCTTGTTGCTTTTCTATGCTCAGTCTATGTGAAGTTGTTAACATGTGGGGTTTTCCGGTCTGATAATTTAAGTCCATGAGAATCATGAGAATTTGTTATCGAAGATTTTTGGGAAGTAGCAAAATGGGAAAAAATGTTGTTCTGGTGATACCACCACTAAGTGCTTAAAAAATCGTTGGCAATGGGGAGAATTGACATGACTTGACCAGCGATGATAGCGCGCTTCCAGTTGGGAAACAATGAAGTCATGGTCCACGGCAGTAAACTAGAGCTGATCTTCATGAAACTCTGATGGGTTACGAACCTTTTTGGGTGTGACAGCTACGGCTGACTGTCGTCTTGGTCGCTGAGGGGTTGCCAATCTTTCCCGAGACGCATCGGTGCATTCTTCATGGAAAGGATGCGCCCAACGGGTGTTTGGATACTTTTGGAAAGATAGTGTTTTTTGTTTTTATGCGAAAGTTCTGAAAGCAAACGGAATTGAGTATGATTAAAATGATTGATGAATCCATTCTTTCCATAGTTTTTGGATGCTTCATTGAGATGCTTCACTAAGCCTAGCAGTAACTGGACCCCACCTGGAGGCGACCGTGGTGCCTTCGCTGGATAGCATCAGCGGACCCAAGGATCTTCCCCCTCAAAAAGGGGGAACTTGCGGACTTCGGGAAGATTTATTGATGGTTGTTCAATAGTTGTAGTGTTGCTGAGTTTTATGGTTCTGAAAACCTCATGCATTTGCAAGAAGAATCAAAAAACGATTCTCTTTGTGACGTTCACAGGCTCTCAATGTCTATCTTTGGTTTTGTCTCAAATCGCATGATTTTTCCAAATCATCTCAGACAACAACATCAGGTTTTAACCGTTGTACTCGATACATCACCGCTCGAGGCTGACAGGATGCAGTGGATGAGTTTTGTCAACGTCAACTCCACCATAGGTATGAAAATATATACATTCCTTTAATATCTGCCGTGGCTAAGAGATTGATACAATACAACAAACACTTGAAAGTTTGACAATGTTCACGACGCATTTCAATCAGAGTCAGTTTGCCAGGTGCCCGACGATCGGTGGCCATGCCCTGCCACATCTTCACGTTGAGGCTTCAGATTCCCAGCTGTGGAGCTACTGTTTGGTAACTGTCATGCCGCCTATATTCTGACAACGCCTCTTTTGCTTCAGAGCCTTCCCTCTGTGATTTTTTCTCAAGCAGCACAAACAAACAGGACCAGCACCGGTTTGGAACCACACGGCGTGGAGCCTGTGGAATCCAGACTTGCAGCTGAATTACTTTTTGCAAAGTAGCGACGAAGACATCAAAAGGACCACCAACATAGGGCCGAGACAACACAGAGCCATGGAAGCGATGTTTGGCGTCCTGTATGATGTTGATCTGAACCGTCACACATGGCCCGCTGAGATTCCGATGGCCGCCCGAAGCACTGCGTGGCACGTCCCGGTATCCATGTGGATGCTGCCCGCAGACCAGCGGATGGAAGTCTTCATGTGCAGACCTGTGTGGCCGGGAGCCCGTTTGCACCGCTCGGCTTGGGTCCCATACACTGCCAGAATGCTGCCCCAAGCCATGTGGAATGCCCAAGCCGCTTCCTGGACACAGCTGCTTCAGACTGAGCACAAGGTTGTGTTTCCAGCAGCTCTGGCCATGTGCGTCCACGCCGTGCTGGACAGTTTGGAAGCAAATAGTGCTGATGTGGAATGGATGCCGGGGCAGCCCCGAAACATCAAAAACAATTGGCGCCGCCGCGCCAATGGTGTCCTGCGTGCGGTGGTGCGGTGACTGCCGCAGCACGCGGAGATCTCTTCGCAGCTGATTCACTGGGAGACTGGCTACAACAAGTTCCCCTGACACATTCCTGGTGCCAACCAAGGTTGAACTGGAGCACATTCATGCGAGAACCTCCTTTGTTGCCTTGGGTGACATTCAAAGTGAGCACCTGTCAAGCCTTCCTCCGGGAGCCCATGGTCAAAGTCCTCGCTCTTTGCAGGCGTGTCTGGCACCAGAACATGCTGTATCAGATGTTTGCGGAGCCCATCCTGAGCCACGTGGTTGGCGTTGTGGGGCAAAGCACAAAAGCTGGGACTCGCATCTGGGGAGATTTTCGAACACTGAAAAATGTGCCAGGGTTACGCTTTTGCCCGTGCTGGGCCGCCAGCCTGTCCAATGAAATCCTCGTGCAGAATTACCAGAACCTGTGGTGGGACGAGTTTCGAAACTCACAACAGACTGTTTCCCAGTTCTGGCAAGCAGGCCGCCGCATTTCTTGCTTGAGTTTCAGCCCTGACGGTCACTCCATGCTAGTGGACTTGGGGAACAAAGAGAATCTTCCCCAGGCATTGAGATTTGATAGAGGATTTACTCTGTACATGGTGGTGCTCGCAAGCGTGCATCAGCTGGCCTTCGAACAAAAGTGTTTCAGTGAAGCCATGCGAATGATGGAGCAGTCGGGCGTGAGCCCAGATACCCTGAAGCAACTTCTAGGCTCGGACAGGCAAAACATCAGGAATCCTTTCCAAACTTGGTTCCCGCACGGCGTGCTGCCTGCGGTCTCCACACAGTTAGACCAAGAACAGCAAGACCTGGTGAGACAAATTGTGCAAGAGCCCGGTTGCGTACATTCCATTTGGTCTCCTCCTGGTGGTGGAAAAAGCTTTGTGCTAGCAGCCCTTCTTGCCTCTTAGGCGCCTCAAGCTGCTGCCAACGCTTTAGCATTCTATGTCACGAACAGAAAAAAGCACCGAGAACCCATGTTGCGGCAGCTGCGGCGTGCGTTGCAACCTGACCAAGTGTACGTGCTGGCTGGTCAGATAGAGGATCCTGACACTGATGTCCACATACAAGCACACTTGGAAGCAGCTTCCAAAGAACAGCTGGCTGAGGTCCTCCACCGCCTCGGTGACTTAGACAGCAACATTGATGTCGTCGCACCCGAACTACCTCTGGATGCAATTTTGCCCCTGCACGCTGAAAGAGTGCAAATCCTCTTCTGCAACTATTTGTGGAAAAAAATGGAAGGCCAAATGCAACAGCTGCAACAGGTCAAGGTGCTGGTGATGACTGCGGACATGGCTAGAAAAATGTTGGGCAACAGAAGCATCTGGGCGCGCAACCGCGCACTAGAAATTCTCATCCATGATGAGATCGAAAACACCACTTGGCCGCAGCTCCTTGCATTGGCTGGGCATTTTCGCATGGTTGTGACTGCTGGTGACACAAACCAACGACTGGAACAGTTTCGTCCTGCATGCCGTGGCATGCGTGGGCAAGATCCTGAGGAAATCCGCTTCAATGCAAGCGCTGCTTTGTCCGCAGCACAAGAACAAGCGCTCGACAGAGCCTCGCAGGAAACACCCTTACATTGGGAAGACATTCCTGCAAGTGACTTCCTGCTAGCTTTTGCCAGTGTGAATCACCTGTGTTCTGTACGGCGTTATGGAGACTCTGTCTGCGCACTGCTGAATCGTTTGGGCTATGATGTCACCCACCGCTCCACGCATGCAACCCAGTTGACACTCCTCAACTTGTGGGGACAAATCTAGAATCCCATGCAGGGCTCTGGGATCACATGCATCTTTAGCGAGAAGCTTTTCGGATTGCTCGCAGCTATTGCTTTGGCTTGGTTGCAGCAAGACAATGCAATTACAGTGGGACTGGTGCTGCTGTATCGCGCCAGCGTGGATGTGCTGGAGGCGTGGCGCGAGACTTTACCTCAAGATTGGCAAGAGCGGCTCACAGTGGCCACACCCGAACAAGTGCAAGGAGATTCCTTCGACAAAGTCGTCTTCTTCTGCATGCAACGACGATGGCCACATGAGAGCAAACCTCAAGGCCACTCTGTCCATGAGGGGCGAAGATTGGTAGGCCTCACTCGAAGCAAAGCAGAGCTGTTGGTTCTTGCAGAGTGGCTGCACTACAGTGACTTTCCAAGCACTCAAAGATTTCAAAAAGAATTTGGGACGGACGGCTGTGATATGAACCAGGCAGACCTACTTGCACAATTCAGCCGCAGGTTAGGCTTGCAACTGACTGTCCCCGCCATCTCTTGGACACAGTTGACTCCTGCTGAAAGAGATCGCCAAGGGAACATGGCAGCTGTGACCTTCTTGCAGCGGCCGCAGCAATGGCAACAGATCTGGAGCAACATGCAGTGGCAACCGCCGCAACGAGAGGTTCCAGGCGGGCAAAAAAAGAAACACATTTTATAGCCATACGGCCATACCCAAATAAATAATCAAAAGAAAATGGAAAACCACCAAATATGAAGAATAATGCATTATACCAACCCCTCCAAAAAAATGCTCTACGAATTAGGGAATGACTTTAAACTTTTTAACCCACCACCGAAAAAATCAATTACACCTATAAATCTGAATCCCAACCAGTGTTCTAATGTATTCTGCTGCTAATCTCCGTGTCTGCCGCGCAAGCTCAGGCATTCCTAGTGCACTGCCGTCAGATCAAGAACTTGGAGAGATTTTGCTTATCCCAGCCATGCCGATGGTCAATATGGGGCATACCAGCATGTTTGTGCCTCTGAATTTCATTTCCAAAGCGGGACAATACACAGGGCACCATGCGAACCAGCTCACCAATCAGCTCATGGATTTTGTGTGCAGGCAGACAGCCGCAGAGTGCGGGGCTACGCACGAAATCCGACACCACAAACTCAAGCATGAGGAGGTCGGTGGAGCCGAGTACTATACCCAGAGCTGCAACTCCCTGCGCGCGGCGCATTTGCTCCTAAGCACCAACGACACCACCTTACTCAAGGTGTACCACGGTTGTGGTACTGAACTTCAACGAGGTGACGTCTCGAGCTTAGTGGTGACAACAAGGGACATGGGCACCCTGGCCGTCTTCTTGCGCATCCTGATTCGAAACTATTGCCCCAACCAGGCCCACTAGTTTGCACACCTTCTCACATGCGCACGCAAACACTAACCAGAATATCATACAAAACTTGTGTCTAGAACTTCCATTACAAGGAAGGTTTCCAGCTAGATGTTGGTTGACCAGTCTGATTGACGCGCAGGTGGTTCAGTTCATCCTTCAGCACAACGAAATGCAAGCCCACGTGCAGTTGAACCAGCACATGCATCATGCCCTGGAGTGGACCGACTTTGCCCATGGAGTCTTAGTGGCTTACCTGCTGCCGGAAGCTGTGTGAAAAAAGAATCATAAGGATGGATTGCAGCAACGGTACTTTACAGAAACATTCTTCCCAGCAAGTCTGCTAGCGTGCGAAAGAAATTTTGCTACAGAGATGACGGTCAAGAGACATTTATTGATGGCATTGCCAGGCTGTTGGCCGTCTTCCGCCAAGCTCTGCGGACCTGACCGTGATCCAACCCGGTGAGGCAACACATACCGTATCAAGAGACTTAGTATATCCCTTTTGGATCCTTTTGGGAGATAGAAAAACAATTCAATAGATATTGTATTGATATTGACATGACATGATGTTGACTATGATTCTGGTCCCTTGTGTTTCCCACGAACCCGGGCACGGCCATTCTGGGCTTGAGGCAGACCCTGGAAAAAGACAAGCACGTCTTCAAACCCATTCCTCTCATGTGCCCCAAATGGTCACAGAACCAGTGTCTGCCAAAAATGCCGCATTTGTTGTGGATACTTTGCCGAGAAATCTTAAGTAAAAAATCACCCATTGTTCACAACCGTTGCAGGTACAGAACCTGGTTGTCTCAGCGCTACTTCTTGAAGCCGCAAGGATTTGGACGCTCCTCAGATCGCATGGAGTGCAGGAGGAAGAGATGCAATTCTTGAGGCGAAGTTGGTGTTTTATGTCGATGTCTCAGTTACTGTGTGGTGTTTAAAAAATCAAAAAACTTGAAGTACTTATGATTATAAGTGGAATGTTGCATATGTTTTTTGTCCACTCACGATCTTTACGATCCTTGCTAAGATGGATGGATGGAGAAATAGATAAATAGATAAACAGACATTCACATAGAAAATTGTTAAACTATCCCCCCCCTTCAACCCTGGAATATTTGGGGGGGGTGTAGGTCAAGAAATTTCTGAGACATATTTCACCTGACCACATGAAATATACCCTCCCTACATACTTTTTGGGCTTCCAAAGGGGGTGGGGGGGGGTCCTCCGGATGCCAGACTTTAATTTAGATATATCTAGATATGCCAAATTGGCTATACATAGATCAAGAAAGCAAACCGCGCATGACCTCCGCGAACCCTAGCTCCTATTCTCTCAAGATACTCAGAAACGCAAACCTACTGCTGCAATGGAATTTATTGGGAGGGGTGCTTCTAGAGCTGTAAAATACCATGGTTTTGCAACTCCCCCCTCAAAAATATCAAAAAAAGTCTCAAGCAAAATTTGGGAAGAAACAATTATATAAAAATGCACGCTTCAACCGGTTTGCACGTACCTGACTACATCCGCAGGTGCCCGTTGATGCACAAAAGAAAGCGCTAAACTTTTCCATGTCTTATTCTACCGTATATAAGCTCAAAACAAATAGCTGAAATATTTCTATAGGTGTGTGGGGAGGGGTGACACCCACCTTTTTCGAAATATTTCAGTTTTTACCCCCCCCACCCCCCCCTTAAAGGGTGGGGATGTTAAACTTCATTCAGTCATCACCATTAGAAAAATTAAACACTTTAACCATGCGATTCATGGTCCACTGGCAACCGTTTAGCGACATCGCCAGGTTGCAGACAGACGAAGATTTGGAACTGATCACATCGTGTGGTCGAAAGCTTCCACGGGCCAAGCATAGTTGATTCGTCCGAGCAAAACAAAAGGACGTACTGTAGGACACTGTCGGTAGATTTACAATATTTTTTTGCAGATGGTCGTGCTACATTTTCACCAGAAGATCACTACGCAACAGATTGTTTCTGTAATTTTCCCACTTTGTAGGTCCTAAATTTTTGGCACCCTCAGACTCATCTTGTGGTCTCTGTTGTCAATGAAAGAATCACAAAGCCGTGAAGGCATGCATCAAGACTATATACATATCAAGCTCCCAAACATACACACACACAAAACAAATGGATTGTAAGAAAATGAGAGATCCCCTATCAACTTGGTTGTTCACTGCAAAATTATAGTCATCTGTGACATCTTTGATCTGGATCAATTCGAAAGATCACCACGACTGAGGAAAGTCCCATTTACACTTTGGTAAACAAACATAGCTATGAAAAAAAGTACCATCCTTCACAGGTACATCAAGTGTGCAAGTGTGACCATGTTATTTTCAATCACAATGTTAGTTCACCAGAAGGTAACACACGATTCAAGTTCCTTGGTACTCCAAGTTTGGACCAGAAAAAAAATTGGTCGGTCGAATCATCTTCCAGCCAAGTTTTCTCCAAGGACTGTGGCCAAAGAAGCCGTTGCTAAGCGATCTGCACAGAGTCCGCAGTGCTCCCGTCAATTTCAATGGAGAATCATCCCCGCAAACACGCAGGGAGAACAAGAGATCACTCCAATCAAGCTGACTTGACACATACAATGAAAAAGATTTCCAATACTATCCCAATTAAAAAACTGCAGGATACCACGCGAATGCGTCTAATCTATCCATTCCGGAGAACTATAAGACATAAATTTTTTGCAGACTCAATGCCTTGCGATTAAAAACGCAAACAATAAGATAGAGAAGCAGTCTGAGAAGGCTCCCAGGTGCACATGGCGTATATATACGACCCCCAGACCAACTATAATCAGCGTCGCAGCGTCGCCCTGCCCCCGCAGCGTCGCAGCGTCGCAGCGTCGCAGCGTCACCCTCCTTCCGCAGCGTCGCAGCGTCGCAGCGTCGCCCTCCTTCCGCAGCGTCGGAGCGTCGCAGCGTCGCTCGCTCGCGGGCCCCCTTTCCCCCTGCACTGAAATTGTGTTTTTCTCTATGGAAAAATGTTGTGCATCTGCGGATGGTGGAGATGTCCATCGTTTTGGTTTGATTTGTCGGTTGACCAACAAGTTTGAGGGTTATTGAGTTGTTGAAAATTAGAAACTTGAATTCCTCATTTTTCCACCATGAATCCCATTTCCGTTTTAAAATGATAAGCACACGTATGAAACATGTTCATCCTATGATTTACTGATATATGATCCATATTTTTAATTGGTCCGATTTTTTTCGATTAGACATCTGTAATACTTGGGTCTAAACAATACCTTTAAAATCCTTAAAACATCCTATGTAATTCACAAAATAGATATTAATAGATCATACATTAGCTAATAGTCCCTTCAGATATTTAATATAGATCATAGAATCATAGATTCATAGATATCATCTCCTTATTCACATAATAATCAATAGAGTATATAGACATGAGGTTTTATCTCATGATATATCCCAATGTGAATCCCATCAGGATGTCAATGATAATGAATATAGTCATTATATCTATGTTTTTGTTTTAATATAGTCATTAACATATCATTCTAGATATAGTATCTAATTATTAACATATTATCCATGATATTGGGACCATACATCTAATCGTAAATCAGTAATTTATCCATCTATTGTACCAATTAACATTAGATGGACATTTTTTGGGGACAATAGATGGATAATTGGGATTATGAACATTAGACAATTGATCCATCTATTGATCCCAATTATCCCAATTATCCATCTATTATACATCTATTATCCATCTATTATAATAATCCATAACTATGGAAAATCACAATTTTTAATGGGTAAATCCACTATTTCTATGGCCATTTTCAATAGCAAACTGTTAGTCATTACCAGAGCGTAGTTAGATTATTGAATTATTGGATAATGCATGGGTTACATTATTAACAATAGATGAACATTAGTAAATTATCCATCTGTCCATGATGAACATGAGTAAATTATCGATTGATTATTTCATATCTATTATCCCAATTATCCCAATAATCCATGGATAATCTATAGATATTTGGATTAATATTAGTAATTGGGATAATCTTTATAATAATCTTTAATCCCATTATTAATCCACTATTAATCCACTATTAATCCACTATTAATCCATGGATATCTCTATGAATCCACTCTTTCAATGGCCATCTATCCATAGATTACGAGAGGCTATCCATCTATCGATCCCTGTTAGGCCGCCGAAGCCGTCGAGCCTCGGTCCTCCAATGGCTCCGATGGCTCCAGCATTTCGGCGCAGCGCTTTTTTCGCGTCCACGAAAAAAAGGGGGGCATTTCACGTGGGAAAAGGTGGGAAAAATCTGATGATTTCACCAGTTGACATTGGAAAATCTCATGATTTCACCAGAAAAAACTGGTGATTTTTTGCAATGAAGGGGACAACTTTTGGGACTGCAGCTGAAAGATTGATTATCGCAATTGTTCCCCCAAGTACATGTTGGAAGAGTGAGAGTGAGAGTGACAACTAATAGCCCTCAAGTTTGTGAAGAGTGAACACGACCAACATGTATCAACACTAGGTAAATGATTCGAAATGTTTGAAGTTTTGGAACCAAACTTGCGACTTTTTCCAACCTGAATGGCTATGCATGTTGGAGATAAACAGATTGGTGATAGAGTAACTGACGACCTAGTGGTGAAAAATGGAAAAACAAAAAAATGTTACGATCACCCGGTCTTTTGCAGATGCCGGTATTTTGTACTTTGGGAGGGTTGAACATCTTCAGAATTGTAGCACAGCGTGCTGCAGGCTCACTTTTATGCTGTATGTTAGCGGCAGGACAGTCTTGAGCAGGTTTCTTTGGTTGCCCTCTTGCTTTTATTCATGGTCATGGTCATGAACACCCAGTTACACAAGGTAGATCCCCAGATATTATCTACATATATCATTCTCCTATATCTATATCTACTGTTGTTATATCATGTTTTATCCAATTCCGAACTGGGTCCTGCACATCCCCAGTTATCACTCGATCACCCCAACACTGGCCAATGAGGTGACACAAAGATGTCTCTCTACAGGCGCTCAGGGACTGGGCTGACTGATCGATATCTGAAGCTACTGATGAACTGCAGTTGTTGGTCAGATTTGCTATGAATGGTTCGATATGAAGGAAATAAGGTTTTTAGATGTTTTTAGTTTTGGCTTGAGGAATGTGAATTATATCTTGGTCATCTCTTAGCACGATATTTCAAGGTGATGGCCATGATACACCTGGCGACATGTTTGTTCGGTTGCTTAGTGAAGGTGCTTTTAACAGAGCACAAACATGTGAATGTAATAGATATATCGTCAATAACTTGAACGGTTTCTGACGGTTTTTCGTATTTTCTTATTTTCCTTTCCCAAAAGCACTCTGGGATGGTGATTCCAAGTGACCAGACCCTGTCCAGGATGGTTGATTTGCCTCTGCCGCGTTGGCTTCTCCTGTGCTGCATGACGCTTGTTTTGCAAACTGGTGGAATCCAGCATTTAAATAGACCCACCGATAAGCATTCATCACGCACTGGATGGTTTTTTGAATGTGCCAGGGACCATCCATAGTCTATCAGTCAGAGTTTTGCCCATCATTGTTGGGGACCTATCATGATTGATTCCCCCTTTTTTGGTTGGATTTTTACCTGGATTATCTACCAATTTTCATAGTTTGAGTTGGATCCCAGTCCGTTCCGCCCACACCCAGCTCATGTGGTTGCCTGTGTCCCCAGAAAAGGATCCCCAGATACTTGGGACACTTATGGACACTTGAAATCATGGAATGGTGGCGAAACGAAATCCGAGAAAATGGTGGAAAATACCCCAAAAGATGCACTGGATCACAGGAAATCAGGAGCCCTCACGAAAGCAGCACACTACCGCAGTTGTACCCTTGCTTAGAATTGGTTCATGCCACAAATCTTCAATTCACTAGCTCTTCATGGTATATCACATCATATCACCAATTAATCGACTGGTTAACCATGATCCCTTCCCTAGCCCTTTTTTCCTAGTTGCTGGCTCAAATTCCGTGGCCATGTTGCAGGCCCACATATGACAGTCAGCTTTCCTACTTAGATCTCGATTTACCATTATTTTTGGTGGAATTGTACCCATTCATATCAACCATTGAAATCCCAATTCATCATGTTGTTCCATTACGTTCCATTTATTTGGATGATAACCATGCGGTTTTATATCTATCCCATATCTGTTTCACATGCATTTAAATGCCCAATCCTGATCCGGTTAATGGTTTATCCCCAGTTACATCCCCAATTGGGTTACGGGAATAAGCACGCACTAATTATATGCTTTGTGTAACCCCCTTAGATTTGTGATATTGTACCATTTTAGATGAATTGGATATCCCATTCATAATCCCACGTATAGATATAAAATCATATAGATATAGATTGCATCGTTCATGATGTGGTGATGTAAAAATCCATATTTTCGTAAAGATCCCTATTTGATGATCATATACTACTATCTGATCAATGATACATTATGCATTACTATCTTAGATCATTCCCATACATATATGTATATATATATATATATATACGCGCAACGCCTGGGTTCTGCCCGTTGCAAATTACCGTAATTCCTATGGGAAAAATGACACAGGTACTAGAGACTATCAAACAAACAAGGTCAAAACACCCGAAATTCCTATGGGAAAAACAAAAACGGCATAACACCTGCAATTCCTATGGAAAAAACAACAAAGGTACTAGCAAATTTTAAACTCTCAAATCGTGAAAATGAAAATTCAATTAGGAAGATCAACAAAGATATTAGGGAATATTAAACTCCCACCCCCGTTAAACCTTAAATTCCTATGGGAAAAACAACAAAGGTACTAGGGACTATAAAAAAAAGTCAAAACACCCAAAATTCCTATGGGAACAACAAAAACGGTATTAGGGAATATTAAACTCCCACCCCCGTTAAACTTTACATGCAATTGGGAAGATCAACAAAGATATTAGGGAATATTAAACTCCCACCCCCGTTAAACTTTACATTCAATTGGGAGGATCAACAAGGATATTAGGTAATATTAAACTCCCACCCCCGTTAAACTTTACATGCAATTGGGAAGATCAACAAAGATATTAGGGAATATTAAACTCCCACCCCCGTTAAACTTTACATGCAATTGGGAAGATCAACAAAGATATTAGGGAATATTAAACTCCCACCCCCGTTAAACTTTACATGCAATTGGGAAGATCAACAAAGATATTAGGGAATATTAAACTCCCACCCCCGTAATGATGATGATGATGATGATGCGTCGCCCGTCGTCATTGCGGGTCCGGGCAAAACCCAGGCATTTGCCGTATATATATATAGATATGTTTTTACATCATTATCACCCTTCAAAATGTGGTGATGTCCACTATATTATATAGATGTCATTCATAATGTAGATAGTGTGGAATATTGAATATATTTCCATAGTATTCATTTCCATATTCGACACTCTATATTTTCTTTAGTATAGTGGTGATGTCCACTCTATTGGAATGATGTAATCTATATTTATATATAATAATCCATCTAGATATTTTAATCCCATTCATTATACAATACTATATTTTTACTGTATATATATATATTTACTATCTTACTATATCGATAATTATCCAATCTATTTGTCATTTCATGGATGATACAAGTAGATTTGATATGGATAAGTGACATCATATGACATGTTCATTAAATATAGGCGGTCATAATTTATCATAAACCAAATTCCATAATTAATAGAAGTTCATGTATAAAATATTCCATACATATATATATATATACATATATATATATATACATATATATATATACATATAAATATATATATATATATATACATATAAATATATATATATATACATATATATATATACATATATATATATATAGACTATATTAGATCTATTTTAAGCCAATCCCAGGCTGCCCTATCTGCTGCCCCTGCTGGACTGTTGGCGCTTCTTTGGCCTCGCTCTGGCGCAGCAGCTGTGCCCTTCCTTGGCTGTGGCCGCTCGTAACGGGATGGATCCCAAAGGTTGGAAAAACCACGGGAAAACCTAGGGAAAATGATAAAACAACATGGAAAAACATCGAAAACTGGGATTTCATCCGGAATGTGGACTGAAAACCATGAGAATCTGAAGTTGGATTGAACCCAGAACAAAATCTGGCTTTATTACAAAGAAAAAGTGGGATTTGGCCCACCAAAAAAGGTCATGTCAGACTGGAAAGAAATGCATTTGACCCACCAAAAATTAGAGTTGACCCACCAAAATGATGCCTTTGAGAATAAAGAAATAAGAGTTCTATAAGCAACAAAGATAGGCATCTACTGTAAGCAACAAAGGCAAATACCAACCAAAGATTAATCATCCAAGAATATGATGTTCATCTAGGTTTTTGTGGATCACCAGTGGCAAAGGCATGAGTTTACCAAGGAACATTATGATTTACTCCTCCCCTTCACTGACATTCCCCAGGAACCACCAAAAATCATGAAAATCTTGCAGCATCCATGTTAGTAAAGCATGTTCGCCAACATGTTTTGGTCTGCACGTCCCTGTTAGCTATTGCGTAGCAAGGGTTCCCGTTTCACTCTGGGGGTCTGGGGGTTGAGGGTGTGTTCGCTCGACGTTGCGTCCGCGTCCGCAACCGTTCGCAACCGTTCGCAACCGTCCGCAACCGTCCGCGCGATCCCCGTATGGCCGTGCCTATGGGAAGTTTTGCAGAGGTGGTCCTTTTTGGATGTTTCAGACGTGTCGTTGCTTCGTTTCGCGTGGCAGGTGTGGCACTTCGTGGCATTCAGACGTGTTTTGCAACGTGTCGAAAGTCGTTTTGCGTGGCAGGCGCAATACTTTTGTGACGTTTTCAGAAGATGTGTTGCAGTTTTCGTGGCAGGCGCAGCACTTTGGACGTGTCCATCATTTTTCGTGGCAGGCGCAGCACTTTAGACGTGTCGTGTTGCGTGCTTTTGGCAAATCGCATTGACAGGGCTGCGTCAAGTGGCGACAAGGTGCAAATTCCGTGGCAGGCGTGGCGTTTTGTGACATGTGCTGAAAATTGACGGAAGCCTCGCACGAAACATCGATTTTGAGGTTACAAATTTTCACGTTCTAAGGAAAACTCGTAGGAAAAAGTTGATTTTGAAGCTACAAAGTGTGAAAAGTGGAGGAAGTCTCGCACGAAATGTTCGTTTTGGTGCTCGTACGTGTCTCGTCTCGAGTCTCTGGTTATCCCGTGGCTTCGCCGTGTCTATACGGGAAGCTGCAAAACCTGTCCTTTTGTCATGTTGCCAACTGTGAAAATTGCCGGAAGTCTCGTACAAAATGCTGGTTTTTCTGCATCCACGTGTCTTGTCTCGAGTCGCTGGTTTTCCTGTGGCGTCGCCGTGTCTATAGGGGAAGCTGGAAAACCTCTCCTCTTCGAATGTGTCCAAGCAAGTTGTCATGTCGTTTTGCGTGGCAGGCGTGGCACTTTGTGACATTCCAACCTGTTTGATAATGTGTCGTAAATGTCAAAATTGGAGGAAGTCTCGTACGAAATGCTGTTTTTTTTGCATCCACGTGTCTTGTCTCGAGTCGCTGGTTTTCCTGCGGCGTCGCCGTGTCTATGGGGGAAGCTGGAAAACATCTCCTATTCGAATGTGTCCAAGCAGGTTGTCATGTCGTTTTGCGTGGCAGGCGTGGCACTTTGTGACATTCCAACCTGTTTGATAACCTGTCGAGAATATCAAAATTGGAGGAAGTCTCGCACGAAATGTTCGTTTTGGTGCTCCCACGTGTCTCGTCTCGAGTCTCTGGTTTTCCTGTGGCGTCGCCGTGTCTATGGGGGAAGCTCCGCACTCCACACTCTACACTTTACACCCCACACTCCACAATTTACACTTTAGACTCCACACTCTACACTTTACACTCCACACTTTGCACTTTACACTCCTCACTCCTCACCTGAGACTTTACACTCCACACTCCACACTTTACACTGCACTCTACACTTTCCACTCCTCGCTCCTCACTCTACACTTTACACTCCACACTTTACACTCCACACTCCACACTTTACACTCCTCACTCCACACTTTACACTCGTCGCTTTACACTCTACACTCCACACTCTAAACTTTACACTACACTTTACACTCTACCCTCCACACTCCACACTACACTTTACACTACACTCCACGCTTTACATTTCACACTCCACACTCCACACTCTACACACCACACTTTACACTTTCCACTCCACACTCCACACTCTAGACTTTACACTCCACACTTTACACTCCACACTCTACACTTTACACTCTACACTAAACACTCTACACTCCACACTTTACACTTTACACTCCACACTCCACACTCTACACTTTCCACTCCACACTCCGCACTCCACACTCCACACTTTACTGTACACTCCACACTCCACACTTTATACTTTACACTCCTCACTCCACAATCCACACTTTACACTCCTCACTTTACACTCCACACTCACCACTCTACACACAACACTCTACACTTTCCACTCCAGACTCCACACTCTACACTTTACGCTCCACACTTTACACTCCACACTTTACACTCCACACTTTACACTCCACACTCCACACAAACTTACACTCCTCACTCCACACTCCACACTTTACACTCCACACTCCACACTTTACACTCCTCACTCCACACTCCACACTTTACACTCCACACTCCACACTTTACACTCCTCACTCCACACTCGACAATTTACACTCCTCACTCCACACTCCACACTTTACACTCCACACTCCACACTTTCCACTCCACACCCCACACTCCACACTCCACACTTTACACTCCTCACTCCACACTTTACACTCCACACTCCACACTCTAGACTTTACACTCCACACTTTACACTCCACACTCTACACTTTACACTCTACACTAAACACTCTACACTCCACACTTTACACTTTACACTCCACGCTTTCCACTTTACACTCCACACTCCACACTCCACACTCTACACTTTACACTCCACACTCTACACTCCACACTTTACCTCCACACTCCACACTCTACACACCACACTCTACACTTTCCACTCCACACTCCACACGCTACACTCTACACTCCACACTTTACACTTTACACTCTACACTTTACACTCTACACTTTACACTCCACACTCCTCACTTTACACTCCTCACTTTACACTCCACACTCCACACTTTGCACTTTACACTCCTCACTCCACACTCTACACTCCACACTCCACACTCTACACTCCACACTCTACACTTTACACTCCATACTCCACACTCTACACTTTACACTCCGCATTCTACACTTCCACACTCTACACTTTCCACTCCACACTGCGGACTGGTAACAAGGGAACATGTACAAGACTGTTCAAATAAACTATTGCAGACAGGTATTGTGCGTGACTGCAAAACCATGTGTATTGACATCTGTACCATTCACATACGTGTGAGCATTCGGGTTCGTGGGTTTCATCTTGTTTAATGTTTTTTCAGATGCATGTCCATGTTGGTGCAACATTTTTTGGCATGCATGTTGATCTCAACGGAGAGGAGTGTACCCCCAAAAAAATAATGTATGGAATCTAAGCACAGACATTGAGAATGAGACCAAAAACAGAGAGTTCAACAAGGATAGAGATTTAAGGTGGTGTGGAAATTAGGTTTTAAGTAAATTTGAACAAAATAATGAAACAAGTACAATGGATCTAACCAACGAAAAAATATCTGTTCCAACTAAATGCAGAATTCAACCACAAAAGATTGGTATATCGCTAGCGGAATATGCAGATATTGGATTAACTCATTATTGAATGCTTAGTAGTTGCGGGTTAGTGTTTTTATTGCTGTTTTGATGGGGAAATATGAATCAAATCGTGCTGAAATCAAACTCTGGTCTCCACTTAGCCATCGTTGTGGTTGTCTATGGGCGATTTTGTATATTGTTGTCTGCTATGCAAGGATGGTGGAAGTCCTACAAACTAACCACTCGAAGGGATTCGTCGCTGTGAAATTGATGCGACCTAGGTGCTTAGTCATCGACCCTCTGAAAGTCGCTCTGTGGACATTTCGGTCACGTTGGGGACGTCCGGTTTGATCCACTACAGAAGGTTGTCATCCTGACGGTGTTGGTTACGTTTCGCGACCCTCCCGAATGTGCCTAGGAATGGACATCGTTCCTCCAACAGACCATGCTTGAGGCCCGGGGGAAGTTCCTTTGGTGTGAGACCATTAAGCGGACTGGTCCTCACATAGCGAGGCCAGTCATGTCACGGAATTTTATTTTTCCAAGCTCCTTCAGAAAAGAGCATCCACAAAATGACCTGCGCCACCAAAGGGCGAGAGCAAACTGTCCATCCATTCATCCAGGCACCTCCCCTAGTGACACTGACATCGTTGGCCCGAGAGTTCTGTGGTAGGGTAGTCTACTTGGTGATTCATCCCGCTTAGTCAGTGGGTTATAACCCCAGCTAGTGGTAGATTGACCCTACTTATCCCACTTAGAACCAGGGATATAGTTTATATTGAATGAGACGAGCCATCAAGTACGTATACTTGGTGGTTATTCCATTTTATGCTTGGAGAAACTGAGTAACATCAAGGACGCACTATTCCTGGGAGTTTGGATTATTGCGAAGGCTTATGTCAGGTTGCTAATCTGTCATTTAGTCGCTTACATGTTTGGTAGTAAAAACCAAAGGTTTCGTGCAAAGGTTCCCAACAAATCAACCCATTGAATGTTGGGTAGTACAACCCCCCAGCAGTGCATCATGGTGCCATATTCAAATTGATTGTTGGTTAAGTACAAAACATTAGTATACATATTATATATGTACTTGTATGTGTATAATATATATATATACATATATATATACATCCCCAGCTACATCCCCTATTGAGTTGTTACCATATCAACAGCGGCTTTCCTAAAAAGGACGGCACTGCATTGTGTTCAGGACATACAACCCATCTTGGAGTTCGCCCAACCTTTGGTGCTCTTTGCAATGCCCACCATTGCAGTGTTCCTTGGGAGGGAACCGTCTATTTATGAGCGATGAATACAGGCTGAATGGCTTAAAACCGCCAAAAATGCCACGGAGATTTATAGTATCAATAGGGTAGTTCCCCACATTGACGTGTGGGGTTTTTGTTTTTGGTTCTGTATCCGCTCCTCCTCCTCCTTCCCGCTCCAGATCTCCCCGTAGAGGGATGGGGGGGGTTATTCTGACTGGAGGGGGGTTTAACCATCAAGTCAAGGGCTGAACGCCCCCTTCTTAGTTCTATCAATGGCTCGCTGTTTCGGTGGAAAAGGATGCACATCTTGACTACTGGCAACGCTCTGTTGTATCACACTGGGGGACCTGTCAAAACAACTTGCAGAAACTGTGCCTATCAACTTCCAATGCGCACGGGTCAAGACATGATATACCTCCACGAATGACATGGTTCCAGTCATAAGCGGATATATAACCATAGCAAGTGGGGCCCCACACCCCAACTTATCCGGGTTTTAATTCCATATTATAATAACCCCAAATATCATACTGTTGGTGATGCATCCCATTACATCCCATTTATGTCCCATCATTTGCCATGGTTTATACCATTTTTTCCCACTCGTACTCTCAAATTCTGGACCTTCACAACCCAGGCAACGACGGTTGCCGCAGCTCCTTCGATTCAATCTGAACCAGGCAGGGTACATCAAGCTGTCTGATGATATGTCTACAACGGAATACGGTACATTATATCTTTATACAAGCTACCAATGGTATATAATGGTGTATATATGTATACATATATATATATTTATGAATACATACATATTGGTGTGAATGTACACACAATTTGAGCTTGTTATATATAACAATGGAGCCATGGAAAATATGGTGGGTAAATATAGTCTATTTCAGATCCTGGGACAAATATTATCCTCTTGTGGACATAAATATAATGAATAAAGAAAACATGCAAGAACAAAAGATGAATAGTCCGCTGAATGAAGAAATAGAAATGACATGAAATGACATGACATGAAATCAATCAGTCAATCAATCAATCAATCAACCAATCAATCAATCAATCAATCAGTCAATCAATCAATCAACCAATCAATCAATCAGTCAATCAATCAATCAATCAAGCAATCAAGTGATCTTTGGCTTTGAGTCCTATGTTTTCTCATGCGGGTTTCCCAAGAGCCTGATGTTTCCACATCCGCCCAATACGCGATGCCTTCATACTTGACATATTTGTCTTCCAGAGGCTTCTGAAGACAGTAGTGGCGCCAAACAAGGGTTCAGCTTCCTGCGCTTCCGTTTCTGTGTCTTCTGGCACTGTTCGCGAGAAGCGGTTGCAGTTAAACTCTTACACAATTTTCTAGTTATCATCCTTAGGTGGTGCTTGGGTGGTAGCACCGCTGGAGCTATGGAAGATACACACCAAGACCGAGGGATGATTCTTCGGATCCAATCATCTTCCAAATGCCCTGATCAGTCTCTTGCCTGTAGCAAAGATTAAACATCATTCTTTTGCGGTATGCTTGACTTTTTCTGTTCTGTTTCTCCTTCACGCGGGCTTTTACTCACCATGCCACGCTGCGAACTGCTATAGCTATGTCTTTGGTTGACATGATGACAAGACTGACCGTGGACATTCGTCAGTAACACGGAAGTTTGGGAACTAAACTGCCTTTGGCAGTTTTTTTGGAGGGAGGGAGTCGATAATGCATTTACCCCTATCACTTCTCTAGTGTGTTCCTCGTTATCGCAGGGCCAACAGCAGCAGGTGAAACTGCTAAGCAAAAAAATCGCGCACAGTTCCACACACGCAAGGACGCACATCGAGGACGGGCGGCAGCCTTCTTGGCTTTAGATCACATGATCCGGAGGACCTGGAAAGTTACCGGAAATCATGGGAGGCCTTTTATGCTCCAAGTTAGCGGCTGTCAAGCCGTGATTAACCTTCGGTCACACAAGCGACATCGCTAAGCAACTATGAGAACAAAATCTCTTTTCGCACAAGGACGCTATTGCCAGCAGCTTTCCCCCCAGGTCACGACACAATTGTTGGGCAAGATGGCCGCAAATGCATACTTGGTTGGCTGAATAGATCCACGTTCAGATGTCGTTTTGCGTGGCAGGCGCAAGGGATTGTGCACCTTGTCAAAAGTGAGCAAAACGTGCTGGTTTTTTGTAGCATGTCCAAAAACGATGGCAGGCGTGGGGCATTCGAAGAGGATCCGTAAAGATGCATTTCGCCTGGCAGGTGCAACACAAGAGACATGTTCATCAGAGATGTTAGGGGGTCAGGGCGGAGATTTCTTGAGAGGGGTTGCATTTTGGAGCATGAGATCTCCAGGTTTGCTAAGATGATTTTGCGTGACAGGTTTAGCACTTCGTATGACCCGCATCACTTTATCGTGGCAGGCGCAATGCATTAAACAGATGGAATGGAAGAATCGCAACGCGCGTTGGTACGAGGCCATCAGCTTTGCACTCAACTGTCCATTTCTGAAGGAATTCTCGCAGAATTGCTTCATTTTTGGTGCTTTCAATTTCGAAAATTGAGGAAGTCTCGCAGAATTGCTTCATTTTTGACGTTTTCAAGTTTTCAAGCTAAACGTTGAGGAAATGTCACAGATTTGCTGCGTTTTCGATGTTGTCAAGTTTAGACATTGAGCAGGTCTCGTAGAATAGTTTGGTTTTCAAGCTTGCAGATAGACAGGAGGATAGATAGACAGACAGACAGACAGATAGATAGCTAGCTAGCTAGCTAGGTAGCTAGATAGACAGATAGATAGGTAGATAGATAGATAGAGAGAGAGATAGACAGAAACATGGTTATATATACAGACAGGGAGATAGAGAGATAAACAGATAGGCAGATAGGCAGATAGACAAACAGATATGTAGACAGACAGATAGATAGACAACTGCAACTAGACAACTGCAACTACACTACACTACAACGCAACTACAACTACAACAACTACAGCTACTACAACTGCAACTGCACCTACGCAACTACAGCTACAGCTACAACTGCAACTACAACTACACTACAGCTACATTACAGCTAAGCTACAACTGCAACTACAACATTACAATTTCAACAACATCAACTATATACACTTCAACTACAACTACCACTACACTACAACTACAACTACACTACAACTACAACTACAACTACATTGCACTTCGCTACACTGCACTACATCCTGCGGTTGTGGGTGAGGTGACCACTGCAACCACTCCAAAAATCACAACCACCTTTAGGTCCATCAATGGATTCGCTCTGCCATCCATGCATCACAACGGCTCACCTCACCTATAGTTTCCTATCCTTGAAACATCCGCCACCTGTGCGGTACTACTGGTAAACACATCATTCACGAGCCCGTCGCTGGGGGCGATCCTGACGGGGACCTTTATTCGCAGCTCAGCGCGAACGCGATGCGCGTTTGAATAATGCTTCTGCGAGCGTCAAATGGTTCTTTGACAGGGTGGGTTGGGTGGGTCGGATGTTGCCCACGGGCGGGCAATTTGCGCACGGGAGTTTCAAGGTGCCAGAAGGGAAAAATTTGCAGAACATTGATGGGATGCAGGCGCTCTTAGATTTTTCCCGCTCCCACCAGCGACTGGGAAAATGAAGTTACAGAAACCCAAAGTGAACTTGGCACCACGGACTTGTTAACAAATAGAACTTTTGAGGGTCAGGCCCAAAAAATTTGCATGGCCTTGAATTTACAGCGAGGATGGGAGTCTTGCAACAATTTGCTTGGTAGTTGGCGGAGGTGGCAGAGCCTAGACCTTGGGATTACACAGAAGAGCATGGGACAATCATACAGACCAAACCAACCAGAAACTGCGAGAAAAAACGCCAACCAAGGGGCATGTGTATTGCAATTGCACATTGTAAAGAGGAGATTCAATTTAAAAAATCGGGTTTCCTGCAGCTGGTGCTTGCTGCACTTCGCTTCGGAAAGACCAATCGCATTCGTCCATATCCAGCACAAACACAAAATTCAAAAAATAAGAAAAACGAAAAAAACACGATTGAATAAAACACGCATACATGATTAAAACAAATACATAAAAACAAATTGAAAAATGATGTATCTGCTGACAAACCAAAAACAAATCAGCAAATAAATGGCTACAGATGTAAGCAAAATATACATATATAATATATATATATACATATATATACATATCATATCATGGTTGTTATTCTAAGCCTGCTACTCCCTCAATGCTATCCCCACAGGCTTTCGTCATAGACCTTGGCGTGTGCCTCACGTTCCATGCGTCCTGCTTAAGCCGATGGCCCCTGAGCGGCAATTCCAGGGTCGTTGGGAAGCGCCTTGGGGATAGAACCCACAAATGGGGTGGTGGTTTCATTGGCCGACATCTCGATAGCACAAATTTGGAAACTAGCCATCACAAAGGATGACACATGCGAAGACATCGCCAATTCATAGACGGATGGAATGATATAACCAAACATATGATAGGGATACACTGAACTTATAAGGAATAGAATGTTACGCGTGATCATGGGGATACAGTTTTCCTTATCAAACAAAATCGCGATTAAAAAACGAACCACAATGGCGCCAGCCCACCATACAGGCGAGCCCCTCAATTATTATTGGTTCTATGTCTAAGCCATAAACCATGCAATTATAAAAATGGGAATATAATGATGGTTCAGCAATTGCTTGTACCAAGGGGTCACCTTTCTGGGTGGTGGCATGGCGCTTGGAAGACCCAGAGTGTACTTGTTTTTTTTGCAAAAATAGATAGAAACAGATGATTTCGATTTCGTTTGTGAGAGTACATTGCTAGAGGATAAGCAGTACAATCATCAAGAACCAGCCAGCTAACCACCAAATTTTTGCGTCTGTAAACAAACAAACAAAATCTAAAACGTAGCGGTCGGTCTTGAACGGATTTGGGTCTTGGGAGACTGCCCTCTCAAAACAGGGATGGACCCAACAAACACGGAAACGGACAGAACCCGCGGGTGGTCGCTACATGTTTCCGTTCATTCTCTTCACGATGTCTCTGCGTTTGGTTACTCCTTTCGGACCAAATTTCAGCTGTCCCACAAAAACACCTACAACACAATTTTGCGTTATGTTTTCTAATAGTGAAATTTACTTCAATCGTCATGGTTGAATTCCAATTTTCTATCAATTAAGTCTCCGTTTTCGCCGTATAAACCGCCATTGTTCATGGTTTCCCCTGACCTTCCAACGGCCCCGAGTCCTAGGCTGTCGTTGCAACGGGGCGATCAGATCTACGTCCCGCTGCAGGCAGAGCTGCCCGTGATGCCCGGCAGTCGTGCCACCCGGCAGAATATGTGGATGTGTCTGAAAATGGGGTGTGCCCCCCAAATGGAGGTTTCCATAAATATAGGTAATTACTGCAAAATGGATGGTCTATAATGGAAAACCCGATGACAAGCATAATTTAGGGGTACCCCCCATTTCAGGAAACCTCCATTTTAATGAAAATGATGATAATCCAATGGATTTGGAGGTACATGATTTTCGGACAACCCATCTGGAAAGACGAAGCTGTGACCTATGAAACGACCCATGACTGGGGATATGATGGCAATAACCAACAGTTAATGATTGGATACAAAGGATTTTTGGAGAATATACATTGCGTCAGCAGGGTGGTCCCGCAACTCTGTTCAGGCGATTAAACTATTAGAATAAACTATTAAGCTATTAAGCTACTAGAACAAGGGAGTAAGCGATTAAGCTATTAGAATGAGCTTTTACGCTATTAAGCTACTAGAACAAGCGATTAAGCTATTAAGCTATTAAGATACTAAATTACAAAGCAAGCGACCAAGATACTAGAACAAGCGATTAAGCTATTAGAATAGGTTATTAAGCGATTAAGCTACTAGAAAAAGCGATTAAGCGATGAAGCTATTAGAATAATATATTAAGCTATTAAGCTATTAGAACAAGCTTTTAAACAATTCAGTTCTTAGAACAAGCTAAGCGATTAAGCTATTAGAATAAGTTATTAAGCTATTAAGCTATTAGAATAAGTGATTATGTGATTAAGCTATTAGAATAAGATGGGAACTAGTTCGATGGGGTTTCAAACCAAACTATAACTAGCACCCTTTTGGTGCGAAAATATGTCCATTCTGTTATCATAATTAGACGTGTTTTTTTTTGGGAACAATGAGGCATTTTATCCCAATTTGCAATTGTGATCTGTTGGCCGGTCACTGTAGCAACATTTATGGATTTGATTAGCGAGAACGGAGATAGAATCGGATGAATCGGCCTCGGATGTTGGAAAGTCAAAAAAATGTAGTCATTGGATTTCTAAAAGGATTAGTACCCATGAATAATGTTCAATGGGAATTGATGAGGAGAGGAATTCTTGTGACATTGCCGGTGGCCATGATTGGCCCGAAGTGATGGGATGGAGATACTTTCTGGGTGAAATATACGGATTTCACCACGATGTAATTGTAGATGATGATTAGAATGGGTGATCTCCCCAAAATCACCTGATTTCGGGCTGGTGAATGACAATGATTCATCCCCAAATTCCAACTGATTGATTATTTATTTGAGGGTATGAACTCTTAGAATGCTCACAACAACCATGAAGTGATATAATGGTTCAAAGCATCGGGGATGCGCACCAGGACACTTAGGATACATTTTGAAAAAACATAATCTGGTTGGTTGATGCTTTGTGTATCTTAGGTGTGTGTGTGTATATATAGTATAGTTGCATCCGTTGGCAAAATGGGATAATGTTCTTGATACTCACAGAAAAAGTACCAACGTTCCAAGTGAACTAAGTAGATAGATACAACCATAGTTGTGGGGGAACCATATCCCAACTTGTCCCAACTTATGAAGGTGAACTGATGATATCCTGAGGCCATTCTGCTGCTGTTTGGCGTGTGTTTGCTGTATTGCATCTCCAGCACTGCTCTGGGGTCGTATCCAGATGGCATCCCATCAATCTCAGCAGCCTGGCGCTGGAAACGTGTGGATGACCTGGGCAGTTCCACTTGAGAAGTTGGTAAATGGATGTAAAGGGCAAGAATTGTGGATGTTCTATCCCAAGTCAAGGGGGTTATCACCATGCATATAGCCATTTTCAACCCTCCATCCCAAGTAGCGATTGCTGCATGGAGGATGTGGGTTGGTCCAATGTTTCCGGTGCGAAATCAGACTAGCGAAGTCCTTTTGAGACAATGAGATAAAAGCATCCCTCTGGCTGATCAGAAACATTCACAAGACCTTACCACACATATCCATACATGATGGTCATCGTTGGGAACAAAACCTAAACATTTCTTGGATCGGCTTTGACTTTATTTTAAACAATCTAAATTTCTATCTTTCTGGTCTGAGATGCTTTCGAAGGCTTCACATAGGTAAGATGTGGCATGCATGGACATCCATGGACCTGCAATATTTTGGGGGGTTTAGATTGACAGTTGGTTTCACCCCAACCTGTGAATGGCCATGTCAACCTGAAAGATAGATACTATGTAGATTTGTTTCATGTTTTTTCAAAGTAAATAGTGGAGAGTATACTTAACCAAAGTCTGGCCTCGAGGCAGTCGTTGTATCAGGGGCAAGTCCAGATGATACAGCTCACACAAAATCAAAATTGAGGCTTTAGATCACCATATTTTCAGGCTCGAATCCCTACCGATGGTGAAGTCAGCATGTTTCGTACATTTATTCATCAACCAACCATCATTCCCTCCTCGTCCTCCTTGCCAGCAGATCATGGTTTCCTCGCCAGCTCACAGCGAGCTCGCCAGCTCTCGCCGGACCTAGAATGTCCGAATTTATGCCTGATAGAACACTGGAATAAATGTCCAGAATAAATATCAGATAGGCTGTCAGGTGGTGGGGATATCTCAAAGAGAGTAATTTATGGTTCGGTCCTTCTCTTTTTGTTGCTAAACTTCCTCATCATCGGTTTTCTCGTCAAAACATGAGGTTGCCCGACTATTGAAAGTAGCCTCATTACAACTGACCCCAAAATAAATTTACAATATTATGTGTATGTGTATATATGCATATATATATTTAGACATCTACACTTATGTATACGTACACATATTCACCCCGCTTCGCGTGGGGTGGCCGCCCACACCGCAGGTTTATTTCGGTCCGTGAGAGGGGCTAAGGGTGGTTTCCCCCCGTGGGGGCTCTTCAAGCTAAGAAGTTTCAATAAGAAATCCTTCCAAAACATTGTTTTTGACAGTGGTTTTCCAATGTTTCCAGTCAAACAGACGGTAATTTACACGTTTTTTGCCATAAAGGCAGTAAATCCTTCCAAAACATTGCTTTTGACAGTGTTTTTGTAATGTTTCCAGTCAAGCATACGGTAATTTACACGTTTTTTGCTATAACGTCAGTCCAAAACACTTGTTTTTGCAGTGTTTTCAATGCTCTGGCATCCAAAAACCCTGCAAAATCTTGCTATGTACAATGTTTTTTTCATTTTTGGCCGTTTTTCCATTGCCGGAAAGCTACCAAAATGACCCAAAATTCCATTTCAATACCCTCTTGCGCTCAGACACCCAAAAATCCTCGAAAAATGTCGAAAACACCACCGTATTCTGGTCTCGGTGCGAAACCGTTTTTGGGGTCTGGTCTCGGTGCGAAACCGTTTTTGGGCCCCCCCCCCCAGCTAAAGCTGATATAGCGACTGCTATATTAACAAATGTCATTGAGCATTTAGTGTTGCTGTTGCCCCCCAATAAGCACGCCTTCACCGCCAAAGCGGTGTGGGCGGATTTGCAAATGCATAAGCAAATCATACATATTTATATATTGTATATAATTATAAATATATAATCATTCTTCCCGAACAAATCCGTATAGCCCCCAAGTCAACATGGGCACTGCTCGCAGTTGGGGCCCCCGAGGTGGAAGCCAAGAAGAGCTTGGGATCCCTGCGAACGTATCGGCGCACGCGATGAATGTGATGTCATGGCAAAACATGGAGGACAAATATGGAAAATATATGAACATGTAGTTAAATGATAAAGTCTGATGGTCTTTATTGGAATCGATTGCATTTAACGGTCGGGGCTAGATGAGTCAGGTGATGATCCCCAGATGCTTCCAATGGATGTTTTAGGCCCGGCTTCAAATTGCGGATTTCAGCTGGGAAGTCCACGTTCCAAAGCACGGATTTGTGAATGATCCACCAGAGGTCCTGCTTTTTGGCAGGGGTGTGACATTGCCAAGCGAAAGATCGTAACAGTAGACTGCTGAAATGTGTTCATTTGGAATGGGCACATGTCAAAAACGTGTCAAAGCTTCAAACAGTTGGGACCAAACATGTCCTATAAATGTAGATCATTGTTTGCTGTCCATTCATTTTTGGACGATTTTGCATTGAGTGTGATCCGTACCCATCCGAATCCACGGATAGCTGATCTACTTCAGGTAGGAATTCGTTTCCGCGATGCGCGGGAACCCTCTGGGCACGCAAAGTTCCATGTGGCGCCCTGTGCAATTGTAAATGGCGCGTGATGTGACAAGGGCATTTGGAATGACATGGCTGACATGAGATGATTCCAGGTAGCATGAAAAGTCAGAAGTTATGGCCAGTGGATGATAAGGCCAAAAAATGTGTTGTTTGCCATTTTGGGGGTACAGTGTTTTTTGTCCCGTTTAGAATATCGACATGAACAAATGTGAGGAGGTGGTTGCATCAGTTCAAAGATACCATGATCGTTTCAAAAGATACCCAAATGCCATGAATGTGATGGGCTCATTTTTTGGTCCAGTCGCTTGGAATGTGTTTGAAGCAAACTCCACACGGCCCCTTGTCATCGTGCATCTTCCCGGGTGCGTTACCCGTGCCCTCTTAAGGACTTTTAACTGGGCTGTTCCGCAGTGGTAGAGAGGTGATGGGGTGATTACCCCAAAAAGAACCAGCTTCAGAAGGGTGTGGACCAAGAAGAATTGTTCTTCAAGACACTTTTAACAGCGAAGTTGCTACGATTGTCCCTTTTGAGGCTGCTAAAATTCCTTTAATCGCGAGATCTCCCACACGCCGCGCCCAAAATTGCAGCACATGGGAGGAGATGTGGGCGGCAACAAACCCCGCTCAACGTCCCCCCCAATTTACACATCAAATGTTCAGGGTCAAGCATTTCACACAGAAGATGAGATGATTGATATGAATTATTCTAGGGTTCATATGTCTTAAAAATCACCCAAATCCGATTTTATAATGTAATGATGTGGAATCTCCATTAAAACATTAACTTGATTCAATTTTCTGCTGTAGACGGAGCCCTTAAGAGCTAATTCCATCTGTAGATAAAACACGCATCAACCAGTTTTATGAGAAACTTGCTTTTTGAATTATGGCAACAGCTGGAGAATCAATAGCAATCAATAGCACACTTTCTTCATAGTGATTTGTTGGTTAAGCCTTTCCTTTAGGGAAGCTGGTTGAATCCCCATGAAGTTTGGTGCAAGTCTTTGCCCAACCCTCCGACAGTGTCCGACAACTCCAAGGCAAAGAGGACAAATCACACCATGGACGACTCAGCGAAAAGTGCATTTCTTTGTGGCGATGTCGCGATGTTCAAAAGTTGAAAGAAAATCCTTGGAGTTCATGTCATCATCGTTTTAAAGGCTTTGGCATCTTTCCTGCCAAAGGAAATCGCCAGGGAAAAATATCCAAGCAGAAGTTGTTTCAAGCCTCATGGGAGGTCTAAACAGCCACAGCCCATCCGTTTGAATCGATACCGTGACTTGCGCCATGGCGCCGGGCAGAGGTCACCAGTGGGCAGGTTGAGTGGAAAACCAACCAGAGTGGGGACTAGTTGGTATATGGATACTGTACTCATCCCCCATTCAACATGGATAATATGGGGAAAGGTGTTTCGATCCCCGAATCAGTGTGACCAGGTATATCAATGCTGTCAGGTGAAGTATCCAACAGATGGACCATGTTTAGCCCCGCTGGCCACAGCGCCCATGGGCAAGGTACATTGGCAGGATCTGAAATTCTTCAAGAAACAAGAACCCAGCACTAGGGTGTTGCTTGTTCTTAATTAATTAAACTATATCCAGCAATACATAAATCATCACAAATGGCTTGGGTTCCTGTGCCAAAAGAATCTGTCTGAAAATGGTCACACAACGGTTTTCCTATCTGTGAAATCAAACCCCATGGAATACATAGTCTTGTGCATGTCAAACAAGTGTGTTACAACAGATGTGCCTGGGCAAATTACCCTAAACCTCATGACGACCTCACCAAAAACGTGATGCTCTGACTCAGAAACGAGAATTAACTTCAAATCTCGTAGATCAGGTTTGGAAATTATCATCGTTCTATTCATTGAATATTCATTGAATATTCATTGAATATTCATGAAGTTCATAGAATTCCCGCCATTTTCCCAGCACGTTCCTAGCAAACTCTGGCTACACGCCAGGAACCTGCTTCGAAGCCACCAAGAGTGAAGGCTTGAGCCAAATCGAAGAGGTCCCATGTCAGACCTGGAAAACGGGCAGTTGGTGATAGTTGAAGTAGTGGTTTGATGATGGCTGAGGGTGGTAAACTTAGTTGATATGGTTGATATGTGCATATTGATGGTACTTGGGTAAGCCATAGCTTTTTGGGCATGAATAGCTTGATTGGTTCGATGATTTTGCAACCCCAACGGCTCGGCCCCCGCGTTGTGTCACCAGGTGACGAACATGCTGAAGGCCGGTCGATGCGGCCAGCGGGGGGTCTGTTGGGTTCCTGGTGAAAGATGAGGGCTTTGAAATGATAAAACATGACAGTGTGATGATGGAAATGCTAGCACAATATTGGAGATATTTGCTGACACTGAAGTTTCAATCCATGTCAAACCTGTGCAGCCGGGTGCTTTCTATGCATTCCACACATTCACCAACCTCAAAGCAACAGTGCATGATTCAGATCTTCAGTGCCCACAAGTGTCGGTTCAGGTCTATATATTTTTATATATACACAATTATACATATATCAATGTATGTTATCTTTTTCCGGAAGGTCTTGTGCTGGATTGCCACAGGTGATTATTGGAGTTCCTGTTTTCTCCGGGTAAAATGCCATATTCTATTGCTGGTCCCCAAATCAAATTCAAGTGGTATCCCGCTCTCACTCACCCAGATTCTGGTCACTTGGTTAGACCCAAGATGAATCCGCATTGTCTCAAAGTTGATCCCTACTCCTGTTCCTGATGTGTGTGTGGTATCCCAAGTTTTGTTCATCAAATTAGCCAGAAATGTTTGCTCCAGGTCCAAACGGATGCGCTGGCCGATTTGCACCTGAAGGTAGGTATGATGTGACTTGGGTTGTTGTTAGATGAGAATACCCAAAGTTATAGGCTATTCAAGGGAATTCAATGGATTATTGTTGGGAATGGGATTGTTGATGAGTTATTGATGGCTTACTAATGATGGGATATGAATGGGTTATTCAGGGGTTATTAGTGAATTGTTTGATGAGTTCTTGATGGCTTACTAATGGGATAGGAAAGGGTCATTCATAGCACTGTTTATCTCATCTCAACCAATTTTATCATCCGGTGATCGTATGAGATTAGTTGGATTCCTGGATCCTGGGATAGTAAAATAGGGTAAGATCGGACAGGTTGACAAACTGAATCTGGGTTATTTCCCTTTTCACTACTGGGATGTACTGGGACCCAAGTCACTGACCATGTATGAACTTCGATCATCCGAGCAAGCAGCACTGGGGAGATCCAAGATGTACGGCGTCATCCAACAAGGATGCGTTTCGAAGCACCAATCCGCTGATATCACCAAGAATCCTCAGGATGATGCTTGAAATGCTTGATGTTGGTTATATAATAGTTTCTATTCAATATATTTCAATATATCTCGGTGTCCAAAAGTGCTATTTTTTGCCCAGCTTCCCTCCCAAATCGCCGGCCACGCAGCCAGATCAAGAACATCCAGGACACGGCCGACAAAGTGGGTGAATTTGCCAACAAGATCCGTGGCATCCAGGTCCCAAACTGGGACGTGCACGGCTCGAATACTGGGGCCCGCCGTAGTGCAGAAAAAAACAGGATGGGTACATTAAGAATCTTAAGAATCTAACTCATATGACCACAAAAAGTCAGGTCATATAATATCACATATGCCATTAACAATGCAATGATGTATATATATATATGTTGTATATACCCATGTATACCAAATATATCAACGATATTATCAATGATTAACCATGGTGTTCTGTGATGACGACATGACCTGGCCAGGTCGAGCTGGGTGAAGCCAAACGTGTGGCAGAGCAGATCATCAGTACCAACACAGGCCAGCAGAGAAAGACTGGGCAAAAATGTTGCAATAAATAAAGCAGCATATCTTGTGGGTGCCATCCCACCTAAATGGCTTATACCCCCAGTCATATATATATATGGAAGATCCCCACTTATATATGGGATTATGCGGGTTATACACGGATTATAAACCACGGCGAAGTGGGATGCACATCCAAGAAAACAAGCAAAAAGCGGCGGGAAATTGAGCGGCTAAAAGGAAGGTTTGACCAATCAAACATGTAGTTTTGACCAGCAAAAAAGAGGTCATCCAGCAGAAATTCAGATGTAATCTGTTTGGTGATTTTACCAGCAAGAATAGAGGAGTTGACCTGGAGATTGTCCATCAAGAGAGATGCCAGAGAAATGTGTAATTAACGAAGTTGGATGAGAGCAACTAATGAAATCATGGTTTTGGATGGTTTGAAGATGGTCAAGGGTGCCATTGTTCATGGCGTTTATCCCTTTTGCAGCTGAGTTGGAGCCATGTTTATTCACCAGTTGCCATGATCCTTCAAGCAACTTTGGGGTGGATCCAACACAAGCTGCAAGTTTTTGATGCACAAGTATAGCTCAAATCTATTTTGACCCCCACAATTGGCCATGATTTACCCAACAAAATGCAGGGTTCCTTACTCAAAATTTGCCAGGTTGGTACCCATTGTTGACCCGTACCCCTAGATGTTCACCATGTGACAGTATGGTTGTGGGGATCAAGCCCTGCAAAGATACATCCTTTGTCAAACGGCAACCCGGCACCTTTACTATTTGGATGCCAAGTGTTTGGATGCCAAGTGTTTGCGATCTTTTTCAAGAAGATTTATAGAAGGAGGAAACGAATCGTACTGATGGTTACCTATCCAATCACTCATCATCAACGGTGATATCCATTCCATCATATTACTGTATCATTTTTGTTATTAAACTGCCATCGCTTTAAACTACTTATATCCCCAACACCTAGCATCTCTAGCATCTCTGTTCGGAATTGGAGGTATGGGAGAAATCGCTCAGGAGGTCGCAAACATCAAGGTGCGACCAATCGAAAACTGTGATACTTTTCATTGTACAATGAAGGCCCCCCACATTAGTAAAATTGGGTTTTAGTCCTGGAAGGATATGGTGCCAATTCTTTTGGTACATTTTTTTGGATGCTGAGTGTCATGCTAAGATGTATTCCATGCAAATTATCCATCACTTATCCAGCCAGAAAAACATGTTGTCCATGTCCTCATCAGTTGCGGGTCATCCCTAAATGTTTGTTGGTTGGACCATCCTCATGTTTTGTTGATTTGGATTAGATGCAATGATAACTCCTAGTATCCACAACGGTAGTTCATCCCCATCTTTGCTGGATGATTTTTTCCCTGTATGCGCGGCATTCCCTCCAATTTGATGGTTGATCATAATTTTCCCAACTGCAATGATCATGCTAGAACAATGCATGTTGGAGTTATTCTCAATTTTTAAGACAAACCCCCACATCATTGTTTCTGTTTCCATATCTATTACATCCCTAATCTAGATTATACGTATCCTGTTATATCCCCAGTACATACCCAGAAAATGGTAATATCGCCCATCAAATATGCCTATGTTTCCTAGTTGAAACCTAATTTTTGATGGTCAACCAGGTTTTTCACCAGGCTTGCCATATAATCCCCATAATGGTTGGTTAAATCACTATTGTTCATGCTTAAATCATTATTTTGGCTTGGCTAAATCCATATTAATTTAATCGATTGTAATATTCCCATCATATCCCTAAACAAATGCAATGTGTCTAATGATATCCCCATTTTTCCTGCTTAAATCCCCATGATGATTGATGGTTGAACCATGGGTTTTTCCATGATATTCCATGATATCCATATCTATGCCCCAGTTTTCGCTCAGGCCAAAGCAGCCGAACAGCAATCCGACCTCATCTTGGCCAAGGAAGTGGAGATGCTGTGTGTTTTGTCGGCCTTACAGGGTTGGGGGTTTCTCAGTGAATTTACCATGCTCATTAGATGCAAAGTGGTGGGATATCAGTAAGGGAGTATATAGATACATGTACTGAATGTAAAATGCCTGTAACCAAACACTTAAGTGCACCAATTCAATCTGAGCTTCATGGAAGTGAAACAGATTCCCACCCAAAAAGACTTTCATGTCACTCGCTGCTCCATGGACCGCAGGACGCTGTGGATAAGTTGATTCCCACCAATGCCAGCATGGCCATCTACACCTCTTTGGCATCTCGGACAGCTGCTGCATTTAGCTACCAAAATGGGGATCGGATTCACCAATTGCTGTTATAGCTATACTGTTATACCACATTTTTTGCTGCTACGAGTCGCATTCCTCGTCCCCAGGTGCCAATGCCACGATGCAGGCGCCGGCGATGGTGATGTGATGATATGTATTGACCCGGTAGTGACCTCATGGCAAACCAAGCCCTACAAATGGTGAATATACATGGGAAAGTATTCAGGTCATATTTGAAATTAGATATAAAGAAATTTAAGATCTTATCCTTTTCCAGCAATTTCTAGGGTATTTTTAGTTCTGTATCAAAAGCTGACCAGAAAGATGAACGTTCTTGACTGACTCACTTTGGTCGGCTTCAAGCTGAGCTGAAAAGTTGAAACAATCCCCGAAGAAGCTATGTGAACCTTTGCTGGTGAGTTTCAGGTTGACTAGTACTTTTTAAAGCTGCAATTGGACGATGGATTTAGACATCCGGCTGGAAATGTCCTATTTTTTGTCAGGTATCTAAGATAGGCCATGAAAGGCTGGTTGTCTTTGGCAGCCGGGATGTGTTGTTCAAGCTATGGGTGGCGGGGGTGCCCATGTCGGAGAAACCTGGAAGGCAACGAGGAAGCCTTACTTCTGTTGGGTTGCAAAGTTGGATGTATATGATAGTGCATACATATATATATATAACCACATACATAACCACATACCTATAGATACCAATAATTACATAAATACAGTGACATACTTACATATACATCGACTCTATATCAAATATATACGCATACATGTACATACACGAGCATTGGTTCACGTTCATTCAGTTCTCACCTGGCACCAGGCAACGAGCCCGGCAGCACCGTGCCTTCTTGTGACGCGGCAAAGTCACCCCAGCGAAAAACTGCTGCGGTGCCAGGGTGGGACCCCAAAAGGCGAACGCATTGGATGCACAAGAGAACTCGTTAGTAGTTTTCAACCCTAGAAGTGGGAGTTGAAACCACCAACGAGAGAAGTTTACAAGGAGTTTCTTTTATTTCTCAGATGTCTTTTGAATCATCTCTCAGTTGATATTGATTTTTGACCGAGTAAGTGCTGTAGATAAACCGTCACATCTTTGTACTGTTCTGCCGCATAAAAAGGGTTGCTTGATCAGTTTGATTGTTGATTGTTGGTATGATTGACCTGATTGCACTTCCACTTGTTTCAACGAAATTATTCTTGGAACACAAAGGCAGACTTACTGGACTATCTTATAAACCATCCATTGGGGGGTACCCCCATTTGTGGAAATCCCCACAAAAACTATGATACTGAATTTGCCTGTTGCAAATCCCGGCATTATCTTTGCGGAGGCTACAACCATTTCTCAACTTCCTTGGGCTCCCCATGTTCTGTGCGAAGGTCATACAAGATTGTATCAACAAGAGTATCACTGATTCGTTTCCAACCTGTTCTCCGTTTCAATGTTGATTGTTGTACCATCCTTTGGAGTCCCATTTTTTGGGACATGGTATATGAAAGAAACTGCACTCCACTGTGCTTCATAAACTGAGGACCGACTCAAAAATACAGAAACTACGGCAGTTGAAACATGGCAAAACGTGGTCTCCTGTTCAATCCCTTGTTCAACTGTGGAGGGTATAGCAACCGCATGCAACCGCCTTGTTTTGCGTTGTTTTGGCTCAGCCTGAGTTTTGTCCGCCTTCGCTCACCAGGAGATCCTTGGAGGTTTCCCAAAAGAATCTCACCATTTACCGTAGAATACCCACCCAACTTTTAGAGGACACTTCGATAGAGAGCCTCAGGAATCAGATTCCCCCAAAACAATTGGAATGTTCCGATGGTGGGGTGAGCCCTTTTGGTGCGGGTCATATGGGTCATGCTGGAACATTCTCGCCATTTATAACTTCAAAGAAAGGAATTGACACAGAGTCATAGAGAACCTGTTGACCGGGTATTCCACCACCAGTCCTGGAAAGCATCCTCCTGGAAACAAAGGTGGTAATGGGAAGTCCTCATTTCAAATAATTATACAGATGCATAAATATGTGCCCTGCCATCAAACATGGCAATTGGAAATCACCCATTTATACATGATTTCTCATCAAAGCCTCCATTTAGTTCGGGGATTTTGCAGCTGGTCATGTTTGATTACCGAAGAGTAACCTTCCATTAACATCCCATTAAACTTCCATATATCCCTTAAATATCCCATGAAATCCAAGTAAGATCACATTAAACCAGCATCAACCAGCTATTTCAGGAGATGTTCCATTAAATCATCCTACATTTCTGGATGTTTTGTTCAATTTCCTTCCCTTTCCCAGGAGCCTTCGAGCTCCATCCTCGTCGGTAACCTCGGCTGATGGAAACCATGGCTGGATGTAAACATGGCAATGGGAACTTCCTGATTTTTGTGGAACAAGTTTCTGTTCATGATATTCATAGATATGTGTTTTTTTTACTGGAACAAGTTTCTGTTAATGGATATGAACTTCTGTTGATTAATGGATATGAATCTGGGATTTTACAGTGCCAATTTAGCAAAGCTTCGGTTCCAAACTCGATCCAGGCTTGATTCGATTGATGGTCCCTCCCACTGGTTGGTCGTCAACAAATTGGCAACGGCGACTGGTGGTCAAATTGAACATGAACCCTATCGAATCTTTCTGTTATTTGATCTACTCTTTGGTAATTTACCATAACTATAGAAAATCACCATCTTTGTTTGGTAAATAATCTATCAACGAGCCATTTACTTCCCACTCTTAGCTGCGACCATCCAGGCCCTCACGCCAAGGCCATTGACATCATGACCAACTTCTCCATCCGCTGCTTCCAGAACTCCTCCACCACTCCACGAACCGGCGGTGATCACACTGGTGCGCCAGCCGGTTTTGGTCAACTTTCCCATTGGTCAATTTGGTCAATGGTGATCTTTCCCATTGGTGGCCACATCGTTTTGTCAATCTTTGGTGTGATTCTTTTGCAATGACCTTCATCAGTACAACGGTCTGAAGGTACTGGGAATGCAGCGCGAGCAGCAGCAGCTGCTGCAGCGGCAGTAGGGACCTTGGAGACCGAGGTAGGCTTTGGACTTCCAATCAATCTACGATGTCAGGACCCAGACTTAGTTTCCAGGGACCAACATAAACCCCAGTTGTACCTGGTAGATGTATTCGTTCGCACTAGGTATTGATCATTTTCAAATCTTTCAGGATGCACAACCAATTGGGCGTGTTTACAGGGGAACTGAGACATTGGTGATTTGGCCAGCCGACTTTGTACTGTGACAGGGGCTTCACAAAGGATACTGCGCCATTGTGGCAACTGATGACACCTGTCAACACATAGTCATAGATAGCTTTTGCCTCTTCGAGCTTTCATAAAGATTTTTCAAAGAGCTCCAATGCTATCAATGCGCGTTGATGAGGTAAACCTACTCATAAAGCCGCTATTTGTTCTGGTATCTGCTTTAAAATTTGCCACAGTCCATTGCAAATCCCTAGCTATGGACCTCAGGCTGCAGCAGCAGGAGCAGCAGCAGCGGCAGCAGCACCTGCAGCATGATGTCGACATGGAGCGACATGGAGCTACCAGCAGAAGGAGATGACCAAAGGACAGGCGTTCCGTTCCATTCGATCAGCGAGGGAGGCTTGGTATGGGGATCTCGTGTGAAGTAGCTACACAATGCTACACATAGTTCCTAGATGTTCCTAGTGAGTTGACGCATCACTCTTGTTGGAAGATCCATTGCTGGAATTCTGGAGTCAATCTTGCACTGCGAGGACATCGCGCAAGTCCTGTGATCTGTTGGCTCTTCAGTGGCTGAGGTGTTGGGAGAGCACTTCCCTGGTTGAGCCATTGGAAAAGAAGTCATGTTTGCCCAAAGAAAATGTCAGAAACGGCCACACAAGGCTTAAAGTTAAGTAAACCATCTCAATGTGACTTCGAAATGGTTTCAGATCCTGAACCTTTTGTGGTTAAGGTCTGACAAATGTCAACCCACACATCCCACTGGTTTGTGAATTCGACATGCAGCTGGTGTGATTTCCGGCATTGCTGACCCCAACATGGTTTGTCGCTTCATGTCGTTCCTTTTCGGATGATATGAATTTCATATTTTGGTGGAATTGGGGGGGGGCTCAATCCAACAAACTTGGCCAGATCTCCCCATGTTTCGTGATTAATTCATATCTGTGTCATTACCACCGTTTTGCAGGCTCACACTACCAACAAATAGATATCCATTTTTGGTTGACATAGCTGATGTTCCCATCCGCCGTCCCAGGACTTCCAAAGGTGGTTTGAAACCACCAGGCCGGCGCTTAGAGCGCATGATGCTGCGGTTGAAAGCTGGCACGGAGGCTCAGTTGTTGCCTTAGTGCCTGAGGGCTGACCTGGTTTGGGGAAACTTTCCACGTCCAAATGTTGATATTATGAAGGGGAATTGAATTCTATCTCTCCAACAATGTTCATGGCGATTTTGGAGTGTCAGGTTGAATCAGCACAGGGTGATGCCTTGAAGTGTTGGTTCAAGTATATACGGATTCCGTCTCCAACTGAGTGATGTGAGCCAGGAATGTGATGTTTTTCAGCATAGCATTTTGTGATGTTAGTCCCCAGAAGCCTGCACTACTTGCCCAGAAGTTTGCGAACATGCTTTTAAAAATCACTTGCTTCCACAGTAGGTGGGGACAAGATTCAACTCTCAACGTCTGCAGGCCACAGGATTCACTTGGCTAACGTTCGGTGCTGTTCACGCCGTGGGATATCAAAAGTGGGTTGCAACAGTGCAGGACGTAAAGTTGATCATAAACAGCCCTTTGGTAGTCAAAACTGGCAAGAGACAATCATCCCATTCATATTCTCATTTACAGACTGCAAATCCCTCATTGATACAAAACCCTTATTGATAAAATGTCTAGATCATTCTCCAATGAAACTGGGATCCCCATTCCATACTGTCGATGTTTTCTGGATTTTCTGACAACACAAAAACACTTCCCAGTTGCTGAGATAACACGGCCTCTTCAGGTTATAGATCGCCTAGTTGTGGTTTGAAATATCCCTTCTGACTGAAATTTCGGGGTTGAAACCAGCAACCCGTGCAGCTAAATAAAGCAATGTCTGAACCACCCATATGGATTGTTGGTTTATACCACCCATTTATGGTTTACTATTGGGGATGGTGGATCCTACTGCTTTACTCAACATTGTACCTATTATTCCAATGATCCATCAATTTACCTATTGTAGGTTTTACAGTCATACATGAACGATTCATGGTTCTATTATCCAATTATACATAGAGGAACCATATATGTTGATACCCATATTCCATTACTATGGATGATCATACCCATCTATTAGGGGTAGTTCATGAGGTGATACCCCTATCCTTTACTCACAGCAGGATTTTTAACGCCATGGACTTAGGCCTTCAGAAGCTGGCGCCTGCAGAGCGCCGGAAAGCGCTGGAGCAGCTGTCGAGCCCAGCACGTGCGGACCCTCAGGGTGTATCGAAAATTATGGCCATTGAAAGATGTTATAAGTATGTATCAGTATTGGAAATTGTGGTTTTGCTCCATGAAGTTCTGAGATCTAATTAGTTTTTCAATCCGTTCCTGTTTTCATCAATGGGAGTAGACGAAACAGCTAAAGACTAACTTTTTGCAGGGTGTCTAAGATATAGTATGTGTATTGAGAAAAAAATGATGGAAGGACCAACCTTGAAACTTGGGAGCATCAAGCACTTGAAAATGGGAGATGTTTGGAGCCACCGGGCTCTTTTTTTGGTGGTGAATTTTTGGGAAAGCATAAGTTTCATGCCCCAACTCAGGGATTTGTAGATGATCCAGATGGTCAGCTATGACATGATGTTTCAAGGTAAGATGTTTGTGTTAAAAGGTGGTTTCTATTTGGTGGAAGGCAAGTTGGCATGACTTGAAAATTGTTCTACAGGTTCTCTCATTTCTACGAAAAACACTTTCCCAAGTGGACTCCGTTCTGACCAAATCTCTGCATTCTAACCCTTGTTTATTGCCAGTAGAATGTCCCTCGCAATACTCGAAATACTCTTGGCGTTTCTCGTCACTTTGGATTCTGATGGAAGCTTAGCTTTGCACCATCAGAGCAGCCTGCAGCCCTGCGCTTGAGGCCAGGCCCTGCTGCGCTTCATGACGAAGGAGATGCTGGTGGCGTAGGGAATGGTCAGCTAGGGGTCACCAGGAGTGACAAGATGATGACAAGATGATGACAAGATGATGACAAGATGATGACAAGATTTCTCAAGAAGCAGTTTCTGTTTTTTGGGTGGATGGGTGAATAAGCCATGTACATGCAGTGTTCCATTAATAAATGTTCAATAAACATCAATAAAAATATTTCACCGGTTTCAAGCCACATGTAACTGTAACTGGCGAGTTCAAGTGATTATTGCTCACTTTGGAACTGGAATGCACACCCAAATATCCAAGGTGATATTCCATAGAAATGATGGCTCAGCCATCCTTGAAGTGAAGTGGTTGATTCATTTTCGCATGACATGAACAGTTTCACTCCACGTTTGCCGTTTGCATGGCTTAAGATCAAGAAATGTCAACATGTCAAGAACTACTTGCAGTTTATCCAGGTTTTGCCAAAAGCATGCTCGCGCAATGTCGGTCAGGAGAGACAGTTCATCCATTTTCCTGGTATCTAAGATGATCACGATGATCAAAGCCAGCCGTCTCGAGGACCTTTTCGCGGCGCCCCATGGCCCCGCTTTGAGGCGTGCCCGCGGAAATATTTTTGACAATGGCATATGAGTGGGATTCGAAGGGAATATACGACATGCAGCATGAACTAGTTTGTGGCGCTTTATGTGTGTCTATGTACATGTGCATATAAATCGATGTCTATATAGATGTATATTCGATTATATTGTATATTCGTATGTATGTTGATAAATATGTGTATAGATCTGGAATGATCTGGACGTCATGACCCCTGTGTGATTCGAGGCAGAGAGCTGAGACTGCTTCGAGTGAAGCCAGGGCCGCGATCCGAGGATTTTGAGCAAAAAAAAGACGCAAAAAAGTTGTGTCACATGGCAGCTTCACGCCCCTTAGGTGCGGAAGCACCGTGGCGTGCGGGAAGTGCCAACTGGTCTCTTCCAGGCGTCGGAAGTGAATCCATTTGGCGGCTTCATTTGAGTCATACAGCGTCACTTCCAGCAGAACAGATCAAGTCGCAAAACGACATGCGACAGTCGTATTATCATGATCACCTCCCTGAGGCATCAATCAGTTTCTGGAATTTCCTGGTACGATCCCGCACCAGCAGATCTTTTGATACTGCCTTGAGGCCGGGTGATGGAGTCCATGGGAAGATCCCTGCACAAGTGGAGATTGTCAGTTAGTTAGTTCCATAAACCCACTTCATTGCAGTGCCGGTATCACAAGATAATCCGCCCTGTGGCAGGTTCTTTGGCGTGCTGCAGCGGTTCCGTGAGATCGCAATGGGCAGTCGCATGCTGTCGAATGCTGCGCTGGAAGCAGCGCGTCTGGCCCAAGCGCAAGCTGAAGCATGTCGGGAGGCGCTGGGCCCAAGGGACACGTGCTGATATGTCCAGAATAGACACGCGCTGACTGCACAGGCTGGAATTTCGGATGGTGATCTGAAGTGCAGCCCTCAAGGGGGACGGAGTGACAGCTCCTAGCTTGCTTTCGTGGTGATATATATATATATATATGTGTATATATATATATGTATATATATGTATATATATATGTATATATATATATGCATGCATGCATGCATGCATGCATGCATGCATGCATGCATGCATGCATGTTTGCTGCTGTGTTCCCATGAAAGTCACAAGTAAATGTGCGCGCCTTGTTGCCCAGGCCCTCCTATAGCGCGTCGGTGAGTACTCAGTGGGCTGGCAAGGTAGGGTTCGGACAAGGGTGAATACATAGGTGAACATAGATGTAGATCTCATATCAAGACAATCTTGCTCGCAGAGGATCCATCTTGGATTTTGGCAAAATTCTTTTTGACTTCAAAAACATTGGTCGGTTGGGGGGCAAATCAATTTCACTCGCGTGTTCATGCCCCAACCTTGGATATTTGTTGATATTTGCCCAACACTTCCAGTGGACTTCCCATCTGCACCCTGGCACCCTGGATCATGATCCCAGTTCACCACATTTGGAAAGTCCAGGTAGCTTAACCTGCCAGGTGGAGTCGCCAGCTACCAGCTCGCTGCAAAAGGCTTTGGTTGGATGCTTGGTGCTGGACGGTGTTTTGTTGGCGATGGACATGCATTATAGGCAACTACTGCAACGGCTTTCAGATTCCGCGTCTAATTTTTTGGCCGGTCTTCAGAATTGAGTGTGTTCCAACCACTTTGGGATTGGGATTTGGAGGAAACTTGTCCACATATGAGAGAGATTCAATACTTTGATCATGCATTGGTATAGCATTGTATAGCATTTTGCTTTCGCACAACAGCCATTATCAATCGCTCTTCTCATCCAATCTGCAGCTCGATCCAGTTCTGTGAAGGCCTGGAGACAGCGTTTGGAAGCCGCCCGCGGCAGTTGGCAACAGTCAGAGAGACCCAGATGAAGAAATGGCATGACGTGAGTGGCTGCGACCTACCGCTGTTGATGATTATATCGGGGTTATACTATCCAAGATAGTGGAGATCTTCATTATCCAATATATTGCATGTTTGGATACGAGCAACTAGTTTTGTCTCAAAATTGGTTGTTTTCCTGCAGGGGGAATGATAATATATAATATACTAGGGTGCGTCAAGGCGCAAATCTTGAGACAGTCCCAAGTACCGGACCATAAGCATGCTTGTTCATCGTCAGTATGAGATGGGTGCTTAACCCAGGAGTTGGGTGTGCGCATCCATGGCGTTTCAGCTTCAGTGCACAATCTTTTGGATGTTGAAGTTTGCAAATACCATGTTCAAATACCATGTTCCCATTCTCAGTAGCTTGTTTTCTGGTTTTCCTCTTAGAGCACGATCCGGTGACATGGATTCAATGGCTTTCCCGTGTCAGATTTTCTGCGAAGCTCTGAGGCTCCGTGAGGCATGGATGTCAGTGCTGCAGGACGAACGTCCTGGAGGCTGCTTGAAGATTTTGAACTGGGTTTGTTTGAACATTTAGGGGAAAAAAACAGAAAATTGTTGGTTGATCATCATTTTCCCTAGGAAGCAACTCTGAGAAAAACCAGAGACCCTCACCTGGCAGGTGGGGAAAAGAACACAACCAAAATGAAAGAAAAGACAAAAAAAACAATGTAAATCGCGCAGGAAAACGCACATTAAACCAAATCTGCGCGTGGCAACAACGTGTCGAAGGGAATCTCAAACAGGCTGTCGATCACAGAGTTGAGATGGATTATCATTTTCCCTGTGCATTTTTCTTGGCAGAATGAACATTCACAATTACTATGGAAAACCCAAAAATCAACCATCCTGTCACATCCCCCATATTAGATCATGAATCATGTTGCCATAAACGGGTGGTTAAGACGGTCCCAAATAGATCGTACCAGCGCTCTTCTGACATGAAAACCCGTTGGGTTTCGATCATCGACTCCGTCGAAGGCAGCATTGCCATGAAGAGAGTGTTGGCTGAAGCTCGGGTGGTGCGGGGACCTGGGAGAGCTGTGGTATTTGGGGTTGATTAATGGATATTGTTTTATATAGTTCTGTTGATTCATATTGATCCATCTCTAATTCATACTTGCTAAAGTTAATGATGAACCCAAGATGGTATGGGTTTTTGGTCTGGATGTTACCATTTTTATTTGTCAAGGCCTTGAAGAATGTGGGGATAATACTTCTCGGAGTTGGGTCATGGATCTTGGACCTGGGAACCAAAAATTTTCGTGTTGGCATGGCACAGGGCCAATCAGGATACAGCTGTAGCAGGCATGGGAATTCTTGAAATTATTTTCGATTAGTTGTTAATTATTTCTAGATCTGCTATCATTTTTCAGTCATTTGTTTGTGAGGACCGAGCGGCAAGACCTTTGAAAGGCCGAGAGGGACGTGCTGATCGAGACAAGGCAGGGCTGAAAAGCGGAGGTTGCTGATTAAGGATTTTACCATGGAATACTGGAGGATATATTGGGAAAATCAATGAAAATCATCTATAAGAGGAGGGGGAAGAGGGATGAGGGATATAATGGGATACAACTAACCAACTTGATATGATGTTTGCGTACTTTGCGTGTGCCTGACTCATACCATTAAATTAGATTTGATGGTACTCGTACCCCATGTTCAGATAACCCCGTATCACCAAACAAAAATCGAGATTTCCGTTGTGTGGTTTCTCCAGTGTGCGGATTTCAATCGGAAGCATTGTGGACGTATGACCCACTCACCCCCGGATTTGTCGCAACTTTTCTCGATTTTAATCACACTGATTCATGATGTCAAAATGTTGTTATTTCTCGCCCACCCGGGATCATGATCCCAACTGCTCTGAGTATTTTTTGGCATGGGTTGAAACCACCAATTGTTTGGTCTGTTGGCTGTCCATCACAAGTTAAAGCATGCTGCTGCCGAGCAAAAGATTCGAAAGGTCGGCATCGCTTTGCAGAAGTTTGAGAAGTGCAATGCTTGGTTGAACGTTGAACGAATGCAGAAATCGTATTTGCAAAATGGAGCAGTTACTGATTAATTTTGACAGCAATGACCCGTGATCTTGTGAAAACAGCTGAGGCTTATGAGCCGAAAGGCTGCAGAAGGGTTGCCTTGTAGACATGGCCCAGAGCAGGGCAATTTGAGGCTGTTACTTCCTGAGCGTTGATTCGCTGTCTTTACCATGTTGACGGTGGGACGCTCTGCTCTGGGGAGAAAGTTTCCTGTGCAATTAGCACAAGGACTGTGACATGCAGGTGGATCATTGCTGCAGCAGTAGCACTGGAGATATTTGCGACAACTGGCTTGAGAAAGAATTGCCTTGTGCTTCTATCTTTGATGTCCGCATCTTTTTGTATGACATGTATATATATAATATGTAATATAATATATATATAGTATAATATATATATATATTATTATATATATATATTATTATATTATATTATATTATATTATATTATATTATTCTATTCTATTATATTATATTATATTATATTTTATTATATTATATTATATTTTATATTTTATATAATATATATATATATATTATATATATATGAAAAGCGAAGGGAAGTGTTGCGAGATGTGTTCGACATGTAGAAAGAAAAAATAATCCTGGTTGATCCTACCCAAGATAGTTTGCTTACAATTCTACTACCTTGGAAATTCAAAAATATTACATCAATGTATATGTTCAATTGATTGGAAGTTGAATGAATAGAAATTGCGGAGCAAGGTTTCCTTTCCTGAAATATCTAATATATGTGTTCCCGGTTCCTGGTTCGGAAGCCACCCCCTCCCCCTCCATAATGGTATGGTACCACCCCCCCAAAAAAAATCGCCCTTTTGCATTGACTCTGCAGCATTTCAGACATTTGCATGCTATTTGCAGCATTTCATGGCCACAACCTTCCACTTGCCACCTATTTGCGGCATTCAAGAGCCGTATACTTAGGGTGCCTATATACTACCATATACTACCTCTGTCCTACTCATCTATGACTGATAAGCTGCATCAGCCCCCCATCCCCCCCCACACCACGTGGAGGGGGCAACCACATTCAGTACCTGGATACCTCATATCAGTAGTACCGCACAAGGCGGTGGCAGAAGTTTCAAAAATAGGAAACCTATCTCTTCTCTCTCTTTCTCTCTCTTTCTCTCTCTTTCTCTCTCTTTCTCTCTCTTTCTCTCTCTTTCTCTCTCTTTCTCTCTCTTTCTCTCTCTTTCTCTCTCTTTCTCTCTCTTTCCTCTCTCTTTCTCTCTCTTTCTCTCTCTTTCACTCTCTTTCTCTCTCTTTCTCTCTCTTTCTCTCTCTTTCTCTCTCTTTCTCTCTCTTTCCTCTCTCTTTCTCTCTCTTTCTCTCTCTTTCTCTCTCTTTCTCTCTCTTTCTCTCTCTTTCACTCTCTTTCTCTCTCTTTCTCTCTCTTTCTCTCTCTTTCCTCTCTCTTTCTCTCTCTTTCTCTCTCTTTCACTCTCTTTCTCTCTCTTTCTCTCTCTTTCTCTCTCTTTCTCTCTCTTTCTCTCTCTTTCCTCTCTCTTTCTCTCTCTTTCACTCTCTTTCTCTCTCTTTCTCTCTCTTTCTCTCTCTTTCTCTCTCTTTCTCTCTCTTTCTCTCTCTTTCTCTCTCTTTC